TGCAGGTGTGTGGTTTCAAATACCTTCAAAGTGCTCTGTGCCCGTGTCTTCCCAAAATGTTACACTTCATAACCATCCCCTTCCAGCAAGATTTATGCTGTGTTTTGAATATTTCTAATACTCTGGAGTCTGAGTGCCAGAAAGCTCTATTTGTCAGGCTCAGCCACTGGCCAGATTGCCCTGGTCAGGGATTGTAAACAGACCCATTTGGGCACAGGCCATTATTTATTCTATATAACCTATTAAAAGCAGGTGTGAGTTCAACCTGTTTGCTCTGAATGTGAATTAGTTCAGTAGAATAAAGTCTCATCCACAACAGAAAACTGTTGCTTCAAGACTAGCAATAAGGGAAAAAGAATACCAAGTTTTAATGACATGTTTATTTAAAAAAAAAAAAAAAATCAGCATCCTTTCACTACAACACATCTACAACAGAAAGTACAGTACAAATCTGAGATGTATCCCACACATTCCTTGAAGAGGGATTACAAATTCACAGAGACATAATATTGCTATGTGAGTGCTTATTAAAAGCAATGAAAAGAACAGAGCGAACAATTTATGCTCTACAAGGCTGAGATTTGGTGTTTACTGCTGGAAATTGCTTTACACAGTGACAGAATTTAAAGCTGTGACCTTGCAAAAGAATTACTGGGCACAGTTGCAGCCCGTGCACGGAGTTGCTCAGTCAGGTCAATCTGAAGGAAAAATCCTTCAAAAGCTGGAGACTGAGAAGGTTTCTAGCCTAAATATAAGAATATTAACACAAGGATGGGAGGATGGAGGTTTCTTGGTCCACCAGCACTCTCAAAGATTGTTCCTAAGCTTTACTTTGCTCTGATAAGAAGCTAAATTCTAAGAGTCCCTGTTTGAGCTGCACAATGAAGCCACGATGGCTCCCAAATGTGTCTTTGACTCTTCCGGGAAGGACATGAAGGTATTATTTCCATGTTTGTCCCGTTGGCAACGCCTGACACTATGCTGGTTATTACTTACACAAACAGAAACCTGCAGCCAATCAAAATAATATGGTTGGCAAGGAATCTGGGCAAACTTTAATAGCTATGGTTCTTCAACATAAAAAGGATAAAAGTAGAATAATAATTTTTGGCAGGGGAAGAGGGGAATTTTTAAAATTCTGATTGTTTTCCTATGAGGATAGTGTTAGTGAAGTCTAACTTAAAACACGTTGTTCTGGTTTCATGAATTCTCAGCGAGCGAGGTTCTGCTGGGCCCACTGAGTTACACTCAACTCCTTCCCACTCCAACTGAAGTTATCTGGAGCACACAAGGTGAGAGAGGGGGAGCTGGCACAGGAACTGCATGGCTGAAATAATTCCAGTGTCTTTCTGAAAGGAGCTATCTGCAAGTGCAAGTGTGTTACAGAGGAATACACAGAGCGCTCTCTCCAAGGAAGGGTAATTAACTTCAGCCCCCTGGGAAATGGGGAGCCAGCAAAAGCCTTCACCAAGAGGAAGAAGGGCATCAATTTAACTAAAAACCCCATTTTCACTGAGTTTTTCACTCTCATTTTCAACAAGCCCCAGTGCTGTGGTCAGGACTGTGTCAGCCTGATGCTCTTTCACTGGAATCTGATGAAGCAAATAAGCTGAGTTGTATTAATTTAGTAGCAACTATACTTGCTTGCCACAGAATTAATCTCTGGAAAAGCTGATTTAGTCAGCTTTCCATTAAAAAACCCTGTCAAATAAAGACTGCTTTGTAGGCAAAGAATTACATTAATGTGTTAAACTGTAGTAAGGAGCAGAATCAGAATAATATCAGAAGCAAATAAAATTCCTTAATTAGTAGTTAATAATGTGTAAGTGTGGCTCTTATAGAAAACAAAATCCTGTAAAAGTTTTCTCTGCCTTATGAAAAAATAAGAACCAAGGTAAGACATTCCAACTACTCCAATCAAAATTCCTCTTTTAATATTTTTGTAATCTTTAATTCTGATTTTTACCTGTATCTGACTGTTCTTTGTTTTTGGAACAAAAGGTCATGCAGAACCATAAATCAGAATGGTCTGTTTGATGGCACTGAAGTGAACTTCTTTTCCCAAGGTAATAACATAAAGAAGCCAAGAAGCATTTTGAATAAAAAAGTCTTTTGCATATGGAGTGGTTTGTATGAATTGGCATTTTCTGATTTGAAAAAATGTTTGCTGAAATATTTCCCAAAGCAGATCTGCTTGGGCCTCTTATTTCACTGGCACAGGCTCAGTTTCAGTCACTTAAAATATGTGTTTCATCATGTACCTAAAATCATGACATCCTTTAAAAACACTTAATACAACAATCTTTTATTTCCTTATACTACATATTTACAATTCTATTAGCAAGGTACTGTGAAAAATGTAAACAAGTATACACAGGTGTAAATAAAATGGCTTGAGAAGGGTCTCCCCTTTGATTAGCTGCTCAAATCACATGCCAGTCTACTAAAATAAGGGAAAAACAGTACATTTGATCCATTCTGCTGTCTGACAGCAGTGTAAAGGGTTTTATGCATGAGCTGCTGAGTAACCACACCAGTCTCTGGGCAGCTGGAACAAACTGGAACATCTGATGTACTGGAATGTGGCCAGTGAGGGTCACTGAGCTAATGGGGAGTCTTCAGAAGAGAAGACCAAGGCTGTAGCCAACTACCCCATGGGGGTGTGGGGGAGAGGAAGCCAAAGGCTCCTCAGAGATCCACACTGAAAGATGAGAAGCAGTGGACCAAAGATGAAGCTTAAGAAATTCTAATTAGAAACCAGGGAATAAAAGGGAAGAAAATGAAATCTCCACTAGGACAGGTTCAAAGAGGTGGTGGGATCTCCATCCTTGGAGATTTTCAAAAGTAGCTGGGATGAATCTCTGAAATTTTACTTGAATGATTAATCTCTGACCCATCTGACTCTGAAGCTGACCAGGCTTTAAAGAGAAGCTCAGACCTTCAGAGGTTTTCTACAGCTTTACTCACTCGATGATTCTACAAAAAATCTTGAGTACAGTGTGATACTTGCACTACTGCTGTAGTTTGGCTCTGCAGTAAATACAGAGCTAAGATCAAAATATGTCAACTGCTCAACTTGAATTGTTCTTCTTAGCAGTTGCTAAGATTGTATCTCATTGTCTCACAGAAAATTTATAGGTTCCTGTTCAGCGAAATTGCCCCAAATTCACATAATTGTAGGATCAGACCCCAGCCATCACACCTCCAAAAGAACATTCAAAATGTCACTGCCTTGCTGAGAGTCACACACTTCTGGGACTATAATTTTGCCACATTTACATGGAATGAACTTTCCAGTGACATTCATTGACCTCTACAGAAGAAATTAAAAGGGATCAACATCAGCCCCAGTGATTTTCTGGCTGAAAGCACAGTTAGTTAATTAATTTTGACACATTCACAAATACCTTTACTTTCAATACCTACAAATTGATGAGTAACAACAATAAGACTTCCATGAAGCTTGGAAAACACCTCCTAAAACTGTCTTGCCTCCCACAGATCACAGTTTGAAATAAACTCCCAGAGGAATGAGTGCCACGTGCTTTGGCCTGGACAGTTACTGACTGCAGATGTGTTTAAGACCTGGGGTGAACCATGGGGAAAATTGTTAGCTCACCTTCCCATCCAACCTCCTGGATCCTGCTTCACCAACTCATCACTCACCCAACCAAAACAACGAACTTCTTCAAAAATCCCAAGTTACCATCAATTATTGTCATTTTGTGTCTTGCAAAACAAAAACCTGCTCTTGCAGAGCTGCAGTTTGTTCTGATGGTGAATGGAATGTCAGCACAAGAGCTGGAACTGCCCATACTCTGTGTCTACTACGGCCCTGAAGCCCCTTCTTAAGTGCAGTTTTGATACAGTAAGAATCAAGTGGTTACTACACAGATTTTGTAACTCCTAACCTACAGAGAGGTATAAAGAGACACTGAAATCTTTTAGCTTGGTTAACTCAGAATATTAAAATACAGAACATACATTTCTTTATAATGACATATTTTTAATATCAAAAGAAAACCTGTCTGAACAGACAAAATAGCACCAAAACATCTCTGTTCTATGAAGTGGCCACCAGCAGCTATTGAATGGGATCAGAACTGTTGTAAGATGATTAAAAAACAATAAAAAGGCTCAGTAAAAGCCCAAAACCCAAAAATATTATCTTTAAGCACCTCTCCTCTTCTATCTGCTTTCTCCATTTAAGATAAAACCTTTTCTGCATCAGCAAATACACTGTTTTATGAGAAGTGCTGCACAGCTTGGCTTGACAAACCACTGAGAAATTAATCTGGTAAGATGTGAGGACACAATGCCAGGAGAGTCTGGCAGATGACACCACGCTCTTTGGAAGACAGATTCAGACAGAGATCTTCCAATCAGTCAAACCACACCAGAAATGCAGAAGATGCTCTTAAATAAATTAACAATGTATTGAGGACTCTTGTTGGATTGTGGCGGATTCTTCAGCTGCAAGTTCAGAATTAGACTGCATACTTCTCTAAAACACACAGTGTTATTCAAAGAGGAATTAACTTGATGAATCCCTCTAGTTTCTGTGCAATGTGATTTTCCAGTGAATCTGTAGAGAAATAATCTGTGGAACACTCTTCAAACTTGGTGCTGGCTGTCAAGTGGGTTTAGAAAGTCCCTGATATGGAGTCTGGCTCATTCCATGGTGAGGTGTTACACGCCGCTTATCCCCGTACTCTTTGGAGCTGGTCTGATTAAAAACATGTCCAGGCTTTCAAGCAATGAATTATATTAATACCAGAAAGAATGTCCAGAGTAGATTAATGGAGGGGCAAGAGGCTAGGAATGAGCACATGAAACAGATTCAACTTTTTAAAAGGATCCAGCTACTAAATGGCCTCTGTAGTCTTCCATAAGAAGTGTGAATACTTCAGTACAATTCAAGCTGAATTGAATAACTGTTTTCATATCCAAATTCAAATACCGTCTGTGCATATAAAACAGTTCATTTATTAGTCCAAATGTTACTGTTGTAGAGCTCTTGGAAAAATACTCCCTCTTTCTTGAGCTTGTTCTTCATAAAAAGGAAGCTTTGGAGGGCCACCTAGAGAATTAAGTAGAAACACGGTTTCAGGTCCATATAACCTAATACTGAAATATTATATAGATTATACAATTTACACTTAAATAATTCAATAAATGGTAGCCTTGAAAAGAAGGTAGAGGAGGGAGTTACAGCAGCCTCCTTACAGAGGCAGAGTGTAGGCAAAACTGTAAAACACCTCCAAATTAGAAGGTTCCCAAAATTATTCCTGAACTAAAGGAGGAACTGTGATTAAACTACAAGCGAGAGGAAACTTTCCCTCTTGTACTCTTATTTCATTAAGAGAAATTATCTGAACAATCCAATGGGTTGACACTCCCATCCAAACCGACCACCAGCATGGGCCACACGTGTTTTATCCCACCAGGAAAGGCTGCACCCCCAGCCTGGTTACCTTCTCTGCAGGTTGGCCCCATCCAGGAGTTTGGGCAGGCGCACTTGCCGTTGTGGGGATTGCAGCGGGATCTGCCGGCACACTGGCACCGCAGGGAGCAGCCGGGGCCGTACTGGTCTGGCCTGCACCCTGCAAGGACAGGAGGGTTTGGGAGAGGGTGAACACTCCTGGTAGTCTCCCCCTTCTGTGGGATCAGGAAGCTGCTCAGACACCTACATCTGCTCACAGTAAAACATGACATTTGGGAAAGCGCGGCAGTCGTCAAGTTTTGTCTGCCGCATGCTCTGCCCAAGCTGCAGCCCAGCTGTCCTGAAGAGGTTCCCAGAATGGAAATCATTGCTGGTGTAAAAACAGGGGCTGACAGCTCAATGGAGAACATCTTGGGATCTGTTCAGGAAAGTTGCTGTCAGCATCCTGGATCCACACTATCTCCTGCCCCGTCTCTCCTGCATGGCTGGGCTGTCAGTGCGTGCTGGCCAAGAGCCTTCTCTCACAGAATGTGACACTGAGAATTAATCCATTTTATAGATACTCATGTCTTGCTCTGATTGCACAATTCTGCTGCCTCCTGGCAAACTAAACTCTCAAAAAAACCTCACCTCCAAATGCAAATACATTTCATAGCTAGGCTGGTAAGTCCTCACTGCAATTTTTTATGCATCAGAGGACAGGCAGGAAAGGACAGTGAGCAGCAGGGTCACAAAGCAGGGTGTGAAACACACAGCAAACAAAGGTCCTCACCTTGCTGAAAAACCCTGTAAGCAGGGAATTTGCCTTCTCTCATGAGCACCCTCGGGTAAATAAAGTCCTGCTGAGCCTGATGCCCTGCATCAGCTGCAGCCCCAGCACGTGGGAGAACTTGCCCTGTGCGCTCTGAGCTTGGCCTTTTCAATTAGGAAATGTTATGAGAAAAGGTCTCCCCAAACACCTCTGGACCTGATTTTAATTTATGTAATACCACATTTTCATGTTAATAACAATGTGTATTTAAGACATCTGTTTGAAAGTCTGCAATGTTAATTTACTACAGAAAAAGAACGCCCATAAAAATCTGTTATATTCTCTCTCTCTCTCCCCTTTTTTTTTTAATTAACATTTTGCCTGTTTAATGGGTGCTTTACCAGAGTTCAAATTAAAATCAGGCCTTTTATCTTTATGGCTGCTGCACAGTCACAGCTGCTCACAGTTATATCACAGATGAACTGAGCCTAATTGAAAATAAAAATGCAAATAAAACCTACCCCATAACAGCTTTTCATGGATGGGGGCTACCCTAACTGATTTAAGAAAAATAAAAAAGACTTGCAGAGTTTGCAAGGAGGAAAACCTCGATTCCCATTTTTGGTGCTGAGCTTCCCCCTTGCGTTCCACTTCTGCCTAAAATTTTACTGGAAAGGCCCGTGGACAGCTGGGGCTGTGTGGGCAGTGAGGGTGGCTCCTGTTCCCACTGGAACAGTGCTGAAGACTGGGAGCTTCATTTCCTGACCACAGGACACTGCACAGAGGGAATCAAATGCTTTTCCATTTTAGTTTTACAAGTTGCACTAATGCTTAAGCTCACAGCAATCTGTATTAATAACAGCCTGCTTCAATCAATTTCTGCCCCATCCTAGAACAAAAGGAGAAAAAATATTTCCCCTCTGTCCCAGGGGCTCAGGAGGATTTTGGCTCCTGGTGAAGCTCCACAGTAGCACATGGATGTTCACTCCTTTTATCTTGCTTGTCACAGCATTGGGATCACAAATGTTTTCTGACACTCAGTTTAACCACTGCAATTCCTTTTATTTCAGTGATTGCCCTAAACCTGCTCCATCATAACCACAGAATCCTAGAATAGCCTGGGTTAGAAGGGACCTTTAAACTCATCTGGTTCGAGCCATGGGCATGGAACACTTTTCACCAGACCAGGCTGCTCCAAGCTCTGCCCAACCTGGCCCTGAACTATGATCAGTCACAGCTGTGACCAGAGTCTGGCTCAGGAATCTGCCTCTCTACCCTGTGCCCAACCCCATCAGGGTACAGCAGTGGGGACGGTTTTCCCTACAGGAAAAATTTCTCACCTATTTTTATATCCTTGTTACTGAAGAATCCTGCTCCTGTGGGCCAACAGCCCAAGCATTTGGGTTAAAAGTTCCTGGGCTGCCTCTGAAGGCCAGGGGCAAGCACAGCTGCTGCAGCCCCACTACCCTCATCTGTGGAGATTCCATCCTGCTTCCAGGGGAAGCAAATACAGAGCTGGACATACTTTTGCACTGGTCTGAAAAGGGTCAGTGTGGAAATTGGAGCCCTTGCACCCTCTGGAGTCCTCCCCACTACATTTGCAAAACTTCTTGGTCTATTCTTCTCCAGCCTGTGTTCTCCAAACCTTAGGGTAAATGACATTTTACAGCTGACCCATGAACAGTTTTCCTATCAGTATATCAATTTAAATATTGATTAAATCAAGAGGTACAAGCCTGCTGATAAAGGTGTTGATAACCCTAAAGAGCAATTTTCTACAATGAACAATTTCTTGAACAAATGTCCTTTAACAGTTATTCTGAAACCAACAGGTCAGAGTGGTTTAATTACACACAGTCCAGCCCTTAAAAAAAACTGCCCTTACCGATGTCACACTTTTCTCCAGTCTTCCCAGGTGGGCAAAGGCACTTCCCAGTCTCTGGATCACAAGGAGCATCTCCACAGTCACACTGATGCTGGCACCTCTCACCAAACCAGCCCCTGTCACAGCCTGACAGCAAGAGAATCTTTCAGATGCAGTTTGAGTGGCAAGAACATTAAACCCAGAGTTTTCCCAGGAGATCTCAGAGGAAAGCTCATAAATTAACCAGTGTAAATGCCAAGCTTAATGAAGAATAAAACATAGTGCAATTTTCACAATATTTATATGAGCTCTCCTTCCGTTGGGGTTGCCTAATCTAACTTCTCAAAGCTATCTGTAAATCTGTCCCAGAAATGTAGCTGGCACTTCTATTTTTAATTAGAACTCTCTAGAAAACCTCTCCATAACACTCAATAGGTTTGACATGCACCTATTTAATAATCTTATTTGGAGTTTTAGAAGCAAATTTAGAATCAGCAAAAGGGACTTATTTTTAATAAATGGCATGTGGAACTCATTGCTGTAAGACATCATGGAGACCAGGACTTTCACTGTATTAATTGGAACCAGATTAGTTAATTTATAAGGGAATGGGAACACCCAGCTCTGTAACAGGAAATCTGTCCCAAATTCAGTGTTTCAGGATATTCATAAAGCTCAAACTATGGAAGAAGTGTCTCCCAACAAATATTTCAGTAACTATAAGAGGTTATTTGAGTTCTGCTTTTGTTGTTTTTTCCCCTTTTCTTTTTTTCTTTCCCATCAGAGGTGTAGCAGTACCTTTTTCACAGTGGACACCGTGATAACCCAAAGGACAAAGGCACTGTCCTGTCACTGCATCACAGCTTGCTCCATTTTTACAGGCACAGGCCTGAAGACAGCCCAGCCCATAAAATCCAAGGGGGCATCCTGAAAAATTAAAATGAAGAAGGTCCATGGAGAAAATCATACACATCATTCAAATCCTCTGTATTCTCTGTGACATTCCCTGGCAACCAATAAAAAATGATACTTAACTCTAATAATGCCATGGGCTTTTAAACTTGTACCACCCAGCATCGGAGACATGTAAGATCTGGAAGGAGCTGGATGATCTGGGACATCCCCAAGATTTTAACTGAACCAGTGAGGTTATTTTTGACTACTCTGAAACCCCAGACCTGTGACAATTACCCCGAGTGCCTCCACTTACTGTGCTCACAGGAGTGGCCATAGAAACCCTCGGGGCACCTGCAGCACCCTGTGAACCTGTCACAGGTGCCATTGTGCTGGCACAGGCAGTCCAAGGAGCAGCCAGCCCCATACTTCCCGGGGAGACACTCTGCTGGCAGGACATGGACAGAAAAACAGACAAACAATCACTGCCCTCACCCAGAAAAGCTCATATGTGATAGATAGCATTGTCAAGAGATGATACCCAGAGAATAATTTGCAGACCAAAGAATATTTGTTATGAAGACACAGGATTTCTGCACAATGATGATGCATTTACATACTTTGGTGAGAAATCTTTTATGTTATATAGATGTTTGAACAGCAATTTCCTGATCCTTTTAACAGCCTGCCTTTTTCAATTTCTCTCTTCACAGACTCAATGCTGAACCCGCACCATGTGTTGTAAAGCCTTGTAGTGAATGGCATAAATTAGATTTTCTTTTTTCTTTCTTTATCCACAGCAATATTTTCTTTTAGGCACTTAAAAAGTGTGAAGGAAAACATGAAGCTACTCCTCCTCTGTGTTATCATTGGAGTTCACACTATTCGAATTCCTAATAAAACCAGGAGGATCCTTTTCACACATAGCAACAGTCTGTCCATGTATAATGAGCTATCTGCTTTTACAGAACCAAACACGTCTCAAATTACCGAAAGCCAAGTCATGCAGAAGGGACTGTGCCAATATAATTAACCTCAGCATCATCTCTGAATAAGTTAACTTCCCACTGCTGGGATAATTTGAATCTGGGCAGACGAACTTAAACGAGCATGGCTGTCCAAATAATCAGACTGAGAACTCTGCAAATGCCAGACAGGATCTTCCAGGAACTTCACATCTCATCTCTATTAAAAGGATGCCTGATTAGCTGTCTTTGATTTCCAGTCACAACATACTCAATCCCACACTGTTGTGGAGATCAAGACTCGATTTTCCAATAATTTCACTCCCTCTGTCGAAAGATAAATAGTGAAGCTCTCTCTAGTGATACAACACACAGTCCCTTACACAATGTGTGCACATCTCCAGAGATGTTTTATCTATGAGACACACCCACAATCCACTACTCCACATGGGGACACCTGCACCACCCTGCTGAGGTCTGGCAGCCCCAACTCAGCCTATGGGTGACTACAGAGATCTCCAGGAACAGACAAATGGAAATGGACACAGTTGCCCTTTGCTAGGTCAGCCAGATATTGATGAAGTGCAAATATTTTATTTGCATATAAACATTATAATAAATATTATTATTTGTCCACAAAGAACATTCACTGCCCACTGAATCCTCACAGGATTCACACTGTGAGTAGCTGCACCTTTCCTTTCCTCCCTGCTCCACCTCTGCACACAGATGCACGGTGGGGCTCTGAGTCTCTTCAGATGCAGAGTGAAACAACTGCATCTCAGAATGCTGCTAAAAAGTGTCATTTCTATATGACACTTTTATATAGGGACACTCCCCTCTAACAACCAGTTCTTGGTACGGATACAGATGGAGTTTGAGGTGAATATTCTACAGGTGTCAGGGACAGAGGTGCTGTAAATAAGAGCTTGGGAGGGTGTTGGGGAGCTTGAGCCATGGCAGTTATGATTTAATGATGGCATTTGTCTTGAATGTGTACTCAGAACTATTTACTTATATTTCATACCAGTAAACTTGTGGTTTCCTGAACATTTAAGTCCATAACTATACAGGTATCTCTTACCTACAGAGAAAAATAGGAACACAGAAATGCAGAATAGTTTTTGGGAGGACAGGACAGTTGTGGGAAGTCTGGGCTGACAGGAGAGATTCTGGAGTAGGATATGAGCTTATTCTGTTAGAGTGCTTTGTCTTGCACAAGAGACAGCTGTCATAGAGAAGTGAGGGTGAGAAAGCAGGATAATCTCAGTTACTTTGGATAGATGTTGTCAAAACATCTGGGAAGTGAATACATGGGAAATTCAACTCCAGTCCAGAGTCAAATGAACGAGAACATAACCACTGAGGAGGAAGACATAGGCTTCTGCTGCTCAGAGGATCGCCTGGAAGAAGACAAAACCCAACATTCCTATGAACAAAGAACACAGAAGTTGGGCAGGAGAAGAAATAATGGAGTGAAGAAGAAATAAGGAATGTGCAAGGGAATTAATGAGCAGGACTCAGGAGGAAACTTCTTTGAGAAAAGACCTGAAGCTCTAACTAGGGGCAGCTCTGAAGCTGTCCTTGTCTGTGGGTGTCTGGGGACACTGCAAGCCCCAGCTTGAGTGTACAAATCCACTGCCATGGAAGCAGGAAATCACCTTTCTCACAGGATCTTCCTGTCCAGCCGAGCCCACAGGTGCAGTTGCCATCCACGTGGTCACAGATGCCACCGTTCTGACAGGTACATGTCAGGTGGCAGTTGGGGCCATATCGTCCCTGGGGACACACTACAGAGAATTAACAAAGTTTGAAAAAACCCAAAAATTAGCACCCCAAGAAAAGGATGAAGGTGACAGGGAATAAATACAGACACATGCTCCCCAAATGCATCCCAAGACATTAGTGTCTCCCTGTGGTGGGACACTGCTCCATGATTATTATCAATTTCACCCAAACACTCCGAGCTTGACATATCCTCTCAGCTTCCTGGAGGTGCCCTGGCACGGAGGGTGGCAGGGAGGTGTGGGCAGGATTAGGCTGGGTGACGGAGCGAGGAGGGATGGAGGCTGAGCACTGCAAACTGCAGCGTTATCAGCAAAGGGAACTGGCTGTGAACAATGTTTGGCACTGAGTTTATTTGCTGGGTATTTTAAACGTGTCACCCTCTGGTGAGGTGACCTGGGTCCTGCTTTGTTACCTTGCTGGCAGGCAGGTCCCGTGTGGCCGGGGGCACAGGTGCACTCGCCAGTCCGTGGGTCACACTGACCTCTGCCACAGGCACAGAACTGGGCACAGTCCTTCCCATACCGGCTCTCAGGGCAAGCTGGAGGAACACAGGATTTGTCAAACACCCAGAGGATCCATTGGCAGTTTTCATTTTTAACACAGCCATCACCTTAGGGGAAGAGCTGGCTTTGTTTTTATTCCACCTAATGCACTTCAAAGCATCAACTATGAAGCCAAAACCCACCCAAAGACACAACTGCTTTACCTTCTGACACTACCTGTGATTATAAATATAATCCATGATTTCACATGGAATATTTACTGTCTTTCCCATCAGAAGAGTGAATGTACAACTGAAATATCAGCTGCTCATCCTCCCAGTTTAAAACATCTTTCCTTCCTTAATATTGATGCTGCCCAACAGGGAAGAGCAAAGGTATGGGCAACCAAACATTCAAACATTGCCTTTCTGTGAATAAGCTGAAGAGAACTTCACAGAGAGCAGAGCTTTGGAAGCAGCACAGAAATTCAGCCACACCATTTCGCTCTGAAACAGAGAAGTAGTAGTAGGGTTGCCATGGAGTCTTTACCAGTTTTGCCATGACAAAATTTGATCTTTTTCACATTTATTGAAACTAATGGCACCACAGTGTGAAGCAAAATATTGAGATAATTTCTCAACCTTGAAATTTTGGACAGGAAGAAGGAACTTGAGCAATTCATGCTGAGCTGGCTCTAGAAATAAATTTGGACAAGCAGGTTATAATCCTGGGGTAAGTGTCCTTGCTTCTATGCATGCAGGAGCAAGGGAAAATATTTTGCAAGAGATTTTTTACAAAGCTGGAATCCTGATTTACAATTCAAGGAAGAGGTAGCTGGAATCTGTCTGTTTTTCTTCTGACAAGCTCTTATGCAAATGATTCTCTTTGCTGTGTTTTGACAGAAGCAGAACACGAATGTTGGCTTACTTTTGCTGCAGTTGGCTCCGATGAAACCGGGAGCGCAATCACACGTTCCTGACGCAGGGTCACAGTGGCCTCCGTTCATGCATTTACAGGGATTTTGGCAGTTTGAACCATAAGTACCTTTTGGACACCCTGTTTTAAAAGAAAAAATACCCAGCAATTAGGTTAGGTTGCTACTGGGCCTGTTGCATTTCATGTCTTAAGCACTTTGTTGCTTTCAATCGAAGCTTGATTTTCATTTTCTAATGTTAATCACCTCCAGAGGGCCAGTAGGCATTGAGGAGCAGATGGCTGCTTTGGACAATGTGCCTCTGTGCTCTCCCATTCCCCTTACGTGACAGCAGCAAGAAAAGCAAGCCCTGTTCTACAGAGGTTTTCCTCTTGGGGTTTCTGTTCCAGATGAATGTATTTCCTCTTTCCCTCCTACACAGAGAGATGGGGTCATTCTCCCTCTTCCTTTGGGCAGCAGCCACCTGGTTTGCCCAAGTCAGTGAGAAGCTGTGAGCCATTTCTGCCAGTGGACTGGAAGAAGGAGCTGGTGCTTGAGCAGCATGATCATCATCCAACAGTTCCACTTGTGCTACTACCCCTAAATGTCATTTCTTTGCTCACCCCTTCCTTCTCTTCCCTGGCAGAAGGAAAGTCTGGCTACTTTAGAAACCTGGTTGAAAATATATTTGCTCACGTCTCCAAGCAACAGATCCCTTGCAATCTGTGCATAAATAACTTCATGTATTTTGTCTTTCCTAAAGGCACAAAAGCATGGCCTGAGTGGCTAGAGAAATCTCTGGCTTTTCTGAACTATTCAATAGTGAGGAAGAGCTTATGGGGAAGCTTTGAAGGGGTGCCTTTTAAAATAAAACTGAACGTTGGCTTCTGCTCAAACCAGGATAGCAGATCATCAGGACTAAACAGATACATGCTTCTATAACATGCAAATACTCTCCCTAGCCCTTCTCACAGATTCTTCTCAATGAATGCTCTGTCATCAGTGCTTCCATCTGCCAGGATGCAAAATCTGTTTCACGTGCAAGCCCTGGCATCAAGGAGTGAGCCCTGCAACACCTCTTTCATTCCTACTAAGACTTGAAGTTAAGGACTCATCCAGATTCAATGATTTAATTCCTCTATGTGAGTATCTCTTTTCCTCCTTCTTTTCCTTTTGGTCATCATTTGGATTTTCTCCTTTATTTTTTTATTCTGTGTCCCAGACTCCAAAAGACAGCTGCTTCTCCCTGGCAAAGCTGTCAGAGCTATTCCTTAGCTCACAGCTAGCAGTAGTTAGCTCCATTACTGAACAGGATGCAGTAATTCCCTTCTTACCAGATTCTTTGTCCTTGCAGTATTTCCTCTATTTTGGCTCGAGAAGGAGCAGCACACTCAGGGCATGTTCAGCTGCTGCAATGTGCACATGGCCAATAACAAGGCCACCTCATCTGTTAGTACTTTGCAGAAGAATTTTGATGCAGATAACAAGGGCAATTTGCACCATGTCCCACCATTTCAGTAGGCTCTGCCTTTGCAAAGAGGGCTATTCTTGCACCACCAGTTATCTCATAAAGACATTTTCTAATTTAACGGTTTCCTGTACTTCTGACTTATGTTTTTTCTGCGAACAAAAGAGTGGCAGCTAGATTTCCACCTCATTTCCTGATTTTCCTTCTGCTTTGAGTGGGTTTGTCATGACCAAGAGCTCCTAAATCTTTCCATAGCAATTGCACATACTGAGGCTTTTCTGACCAATGCTATTAATCACATTGTCAAATAATCCCTTCTGACACATCCTGTCACCTACAGCTTGAGGGTGAAGCTGGTGAGATCTCCCGGCCCAGTCAATGTCAAAGAAACATACCATGCTTTTTTTTTTTTTTTTTTTTTTGGTAAATCATTCCACCACCACTTACTGCTTTTTACTCCTTTTAACAAGTAGATCTGCCCATCCAGCAAGTTATGGACAAGTGATGAGAACCTTATTGTTAGTTTGTCTTCTTGCTCTGGACCCTGCCAAGAGATTTTTTCAGCTCCTCACTCCAAAATTTGAGAACATGAAAGCCCCGTTGCTCTTGGCTCCTGGAAATTTGACTTCCCAGCCAACTACACCTTTTATAGATACTTTCTTGAACCTTTTTTTCACTGTACTATAAATATGGCAACAGTTGCCAGAAACTGTTTCCAGCAGCATCCAACCACATGTTGACTGGACCAGAGCCCATTTGGGAGCCGCTCCCTGCGCTGGTTTTAATATTCTATTGAGAGCTTCTTCACCCTGGAGCAGCCCCAGCTTTCCCTGCAGTGAGGACAGCAGGAACTTGGAGTATTCCCACCAAAGTCACGCGAGACACCCTTGGTTTTCAGTAGGTCACTTCAGCATCAGTCCCACAGTCTCTCCCTCCACTGACCAAAACTTGAAATAACTCACAATTAACTGTTCTCCTGTTTTGTGTGGCTGTCTATGAGTGGCACAGCTCCTGACAACAGGAACAACACCAACATAGATGAGTATTTTTCTGTGAGCTTTCATCATTTCATTATTTCTCCAATAAATATCTAATAACCTCTGTTTAAGAATCTTCTGTATATTTTTGGAATGTCAGAGTACAAAACACTATGAAATCTCAAATCTAAACCAAATCTTTAGGTTTAATCCCAACTATACAGAAATCCATGGCAAAAATCCCCCCTGAATACAGCAAAACACAGATTTTATTTTGCAACAAATCTTTTTATACCTTCTCTATCAGAACTTCAGTGTAATTGTTAATGGTTTAAATTTTAAAATTCTGAAATAAAACCTGAAGTATCTAAGTAAGGTTGAGGACATTTACTGTAATGAGAGATTTAGTGCTACACACACAGGTAATGGCTACAGAGAAATTGCTACATAAAGGTAATGGGCTGACCATGATTAAGTCTTTTAAAATGATCCTGTTAAATAGTTGATCTCCACTACTGCTCTACTATAACATTTATTATAATCTAATATATAATGGATCCAAATGGCTCCAGCCCCAACGTTGAAGGCCAGATTTCGATCTCACTTACAGCAAAAACTGATGCACAGAGGAGGACAGAATCAATCCTTTGTGTTTTATTTATAATTTATATTTTAAAGAATAACATGTGATGATGTGATGGCAATACAAAGGCCCATCTCTAAAGGGAGTCTTTCTCCTATTTCTGTTCTCTATAAAACAGTGGTTTAACCCTTACTAGAGCTGCACATGTGACAGCTGGCTTTTGTATCCAAATTGTCAGCCCAAAAGGCAATTAAGCCAAACAGAACTGTGCTGGATTCCCAAGAAAGAGAAATCAACACTCACCAAAGAGAGAAAAACTGAGCAAGAAAGACAACAGCTTGTTTTTTTTTTCTTTTTTTTCTCCTCTAAATGAGACTATTACAAGCCGTGGAGTAAAACCAAAATTAAAGTTGTAAATAAAAAGGTAATTAACTGTCTCCTTTATTGGCTGCTTTAGTATATGTTTCTTATCAGTTGCCACATTCCACCAGAAACAACTTTACAGATGTCCTAAAATACCGGCATGAGCCATGTGGATCTGGGAATATTTTTTATGATGGAGCATTGGGCCAGTTGGCATTTTGTCCTCTACACTAGTCACCATTTTTCAATCCAGAGTAACAGTTGGTTTAATTTGATTGCTCCTCAGAAGGCTCTGCAACTGAAAGGACTTTATGAATCACTTGGATTTATTGCCAATTTCAGCTTGTTGTTTTCTCATAACCATTTGTCCTTACTTGAGCACGCAGAGATTTCGGGAAGTATTTTGGACTTGGTATTTGGAAATGAGAGAGCTGTGCAATATCCAGGTGTAGCTGAGAGATGCAATGCAGAGAATGATCTTTACGTTCTCTGGCGTGGCACGAGATTGGAAAGAATTTAGCTGGTAAATCTGGTGGTTTTAAAAATTAATTTGAAGGATTGAATTAATTACATTTTTGAACCAACATTATTCATTTTTTTTAGAAAATGTTTTTTAAAATTAATTCCTTGCAGTAATACAACTACATTTTTTAGTGTCAATTAACCCACCCTATGCTTACTTCCTGTACTGCAACTTATTTGTAATACTGTAACTTTTATACTATAATTAACCTCTACTTCTCTCAGTCACTGTACTGAGACAGATGAACCCAAAGCACCAGCAGATGCTCCTGCAAGACTCAGCTCTCTGTCAGAAAGGCAGCAACCCCCAAAAATACTCACGGAGGTGGCAGTGGGCCCCGTGGTAGCCCGGGCTGCAGGAGCAGTGGCCAGTGACAGGGTGACATTCCTGATTCTCTGCAGAGCACTGGCACACTCCGTGACAGTCCTGCCCATACGTGCCCGGTGGACAAGCTTTGGGAAGAAGAAATGCAAACCAATAAATTAAATTTGTCTTGGTAAATATAGCACTCAAACAAAGAGCGGGCTGAAATTTATTAAATAAAATCCCTGCCTACGGAATGACGCTCTCCTCCGGGACTTTGGATTTATTACATTTACTTGGGGGTTACTTGACTGCTTGATTTTGTTTTGTTCAGTCAATTTGTGCCCAACTGTCAAGGGCCAGATACAATTTTCTTGTCACTAGAAAAAAAAATCATAGGGAAATGTCAGGTAAAATTGACTAAAATAACAGTATAATTCCCAAGGGACCAGGCATGTGGATAAAGACATTCTACCTTTTGCAGAAGTTTAAACTTGCAAAGCTGCTGTGACATCAGCATCTCCACTGGTTTCATTCTGCCTGCTGACAGCCACATTGCCTACAGGTTTTGGACTTTCCACATTTAATTCTTACATCTCATTTCCATTAAGCTGCCCTGGTTGTGGGTCAGCATTTAGAGTCCTCTGGTGGAGGATACAGGACACCGATGTCAGTCCTTTCAATTCTTATTTATTGCTGGTTCTCCTTTGGCTAAAACAGGGCTCAGGGAAAGTTTTGTGGGGAGGAACAAAACCAGGGTGTTGCAGCTGGGGTCAGAGCAGGAGCCTGCTTCCAAAGACAGCTCTGGGGGACCAAACTCCATGCTAAGAAAAGCCAGAAAATGTCCCTTCCACGAGATCTGAGAGCAGGACAGCCTCGCACAGGGACAAGGCCAAGAAAAGCCGAGCTGCTGCTTTACTGACAGCACAGTGGGCAGGGCTGGGCTGGGCTCCACTCCATCCTCAGCCCATTTGGGGGCAGTTCAGCCCCTGGCTGCTCCCTGCCAGTGCAACAGCTTCAAGCACAGAGAGGGCAAACCCCAGCAGCCCCAACTGCGCTGGCACAGAGCTCAGAGCTGGCCAAACCCCTTGGCCGAGGGACAAGCAGCCCTTGGCCATCTTCCCTCCTGTCAGGGTGTTGTCCCTTCCCTCTTCAGGCTTCACATCCCCATGTTTTGAATCGAGAAATCCATTTATGCATTAGCTGCCGAAGGAAGTATTTGCGGTGTGATGAGGAACTCACCCTTGTCGCAGCCGTGGCCGGTGAAGCCCGGGGGACATCCGCAGGCCCCCGTCAGGTGGTGGCAGGGCCTTCCCGCGGGACAGCGGCACCGCCGCCCGCACCCCGCGCCGTAGCGACCCGGCAGGCAGGCTGCAGGGGACACCAAGCCTGTCAGGGCCAGCAGGACGGGACAAAGCCACCCCCTCCACGCACCCATCCCTGCGAGCAGCTCCCGCTCGGCCCCGCGGAAGGAGGGGGTGCAAACAAGCCGGCCGCGGGCCCGGAGCTGCGGGCCCGGGCGGAACGCGCGCCCCAGGGCGAGGCGCTGCCCTCACTCACGTTTGTCGCAGTGCTTCCCTCGCCACCCCCTGTGGCAGTGACACGCTCCGCTCTGGGGGTGGCAGGACCAGCCGTGGGCGCAGTCACACCGCTCCTCGCAGCGCTTCCCGAAAAATCCCGGGGGACAGGCTGGGGGCAAGCAGAGAGAGCGTTCTACCGGCAGCTCCGCTGGCCATCAGCCAGGATCCTCCTTGCCCCAGCTCCTGCTCAGGAGTATATTTAGCAGACTGCGTGGCCAGAAAATATCAGTGAAGGGGAAGATATTAAAAATATTAGAAGCGCTTAATGCTGGCTGTTAACGAGTCTGCACAGCAAAGTTTGCAAAGACCGAGTCACGGCCTGGAGTGCAAATCCAGGCTCCACAGAGAGGGTGATGCTGTTTGCTTTGACAGAACTGTGCACACAGGGACAGCTGTTTGAGCAGTCTGAACTGTGCCCAGGAACTGCCTCCACCTTCCAGGTCCCTGTAAAGTGACCAAAGAGAAAGGGAGGTGGGCACTGAGAAGGCTTTACGGGTCCCACCGGTGGCCGAGGCTTTCCGAGTCCTCAGCACCTCAGGAGACCTCAGAAAGCTGTGCTAAAAGCGCAGCACCTCAGTGGGTGAGCTGAAAGCATGTTTTGAGTCACCTCTGAATGAGATTTCATCCCTATTTCAGGGATTCAGATGGCTCTAAGCATGCCAAACAGCTGGGTCAAATCTGCGTGATGTGCCACATCTGAACTATCTGAACCATCACAGTCCAGTTTGCTGAGCTCCCCTCAATGACCCACAGAGGTGGCTGATCTGGCAAATTCTCCTTAAAACTCCCTCCCTTTCATGTGTTCTTCCCTGCATGTGTAAGGTAGAGAAATACCTTCATTTTCTAAGGCAGGGAACAGAGGTAGGAGGAGATAAAATGATTTGGACAAGGGCATGGCTGGGCAGAGACCTGCCTGTGGGTCTGAGATGGGGTGAGAAGGCATAAATCCTGACTGGCCTGCAGAATCCTGGAAATTTAAGACAGAAAATAGAAAACTGGCAGAAATGGCTGATGGTTAAAATGAAGGATTTGCAGAAGGAGCTGCTTACCAACATCACAGCGGTCCCCAGTCCAGCCAGCGTGGCAGAGGCACTTCCTTGAGGACTGGTCGCACAGCCCGTGGTGGCAGCTGCAGTTCTGCTCACAGCCCTCTCCAAACTGCCCGTCCTCACACTCTGAAACGGGATGCGGGAGTCTGATGGGGGGCCAAGGCTGCAGCAACCCCAGCAGGAACTCCCTCACGCCTCTGCAACATCATGAGCCACCAAAACTGGGCCTAAAAACCTTCAGTGAAGGAAATTTTGAAGCCTCCCTTGGCAAAATTATCTAGAAATACAGCATTTTCATCTTTAAGGGTTTCTTTCTCCTTAAGTGGAGCTCATTACCTATCCTCCCCGTTCCCAAAGGACAAAGAACAGCTTATCCATCTCCTCTGCCCAGCAAGTTTCCAGCACCATGGATATGTTCAAGTACCAATATCACATCTCTCCTCAGCCTTCTCATTTCTGACTAATCAACCCCAGTTCTTTTAACTTTTTAACTTTTCCATTCTTCTGTCTCCTTCCTCTGGCTTGTCTCAAAGCAGACCCCAGCTCAAGTGAACTTCCTTTCAGAGTGACTGAAGCGAGGTGCTGGAGGGCTGGAGGAGGTGGTGAGACTCACCCAGCTCGCAGGCTGTCCCCGTCCAGCCCTGGGGACACTGGCACTCGCCACTCACAGGGTCACAGGTGGCCTGGCCGTGGCAGAGGCAGCGCTGCAGGCAGTTTGCTCCGTACCACCTGGGGGGACAGGCTGTGAAGGGAGGCAGGGAAAAACTTCCATCAGGAAGTGCAGAAGGACACAGGTTCAGCACCACCTCTCCCACCTTGCAGCCTTTCTGGCCCTGGAAGATGCTCTGAGAGGTACAACCAAGCAAAAATGGGGACACAATCAGTAAGGAATTACTCCAACCACTATAAAACTGGTCTTGGAACAAAGTAGGTGATTAAGCAAATTAGTGACCCACCAAATAACCTTGAGACTTTCTGTTTGTACCCACAAAACCCATTTCTTTGGTTATTTCCAGCTTTCTCAACAGTGGGGAGTGCAGTTCTTGATTTCCCTGTTCTCAGAATTTCTTTGTACAGTCCTCTTAAAATCACAGCTCCTTCTCTAACTGGTTCCTGCTGCCCACACCTCGCTGATGATATTTCACCATTTACCAAATTTTAATTAGGCAAGTCTATTAATGCCTATCACAACCAGTTTCTATGGATAGAACCTAATTTTTTGGCAAAAAAACACACACCTCTGCCACATGCCAGAGTGACACCTCTTTAAGATGAAAACAGGGGCAAGCTCTCACCTTGGAAAAGTACAGGCACCAGAGGATGGCTGTCCAAGCCTCACACAATTATTCTACCTCCTCACTTCACATAGAAAAGAAATCCCCAAACATGTATTTAAAAAGGGGTGTTTGAAACATCTTTTGTAACTTTTGCATTAGTTTTGTATTTGCGGCCTTTGGAGAAAACTAAAATTCAGGTCATGCTGTACATGTCATCAGGAACAGTTGAGTACCTTCCCAATTTTTAAATCCTTCATGGAAAGGCCTCTTCATATCAAGTTTTAAAAGGGGAATGTGCTACATTTAAATATCACTCTACCCCTGCCAGCTTTCATCCCTTTTCCCTAACAATCCTGGGATGTTGAAGGGGAGAGTCCTCCTCACCCAGGAGCATGCACAGCAGCATTCCCAGCTCCATGGTACTGCTGCCACCCCAGGGACCTCGTGGGGAAGGCACAGAACAAGGAGCTTCTGCAAGGGGCATGGACAGACTTTTCCTACTGCCTGGGATGCATGGATTAGGATGTGCAATGCCACAGTGCAGCCTCTTTGCCAGCCTCCTCTTATGGAGCTCCTCATGGAGCTGTGCTTGTGTTTGAGCCTCACGTACGGGTCTGATTGCCAAGGCTGGAAGGCTCAATGCCTTTCACATGTTCTGGATTTAGGCTCTGTCTGGAACAGCACAAGGTAATGCCGAGGATCAGTCTGGTGCATGGGACAGTAAAGCAGGCCATGGAAAAGAAACAGCTTTATTTCAGCATCATAATTGGGAGGTTTATGGACCTTTTCTCCCTTCATCAGCCTTCAAAATCAGCTCTCTTTCCAGTTTATGGCTGTTTCACCCCTCTGCCCTGGGATCCTACAACACAGTGTCACGGATTAATTTAATGGACCAATTCACGTCAGTGCAGATCCAAACCCAGTGACAACACAGGGCAATGAGCTGAGAGCTAAAATACCAGTGAGCTTTCCCCAAACACAGGTTTTATTTTTCCCTCCTATAATCCATAGGCAGGGGTTTGAATTTCCAGCTGTACCTTCTTGGCAGGTGGCTCCTTTCCAGCCCGGGCTACAAAGGCACGTCCCAGTTACGTGGTGACAGAGAGCTCCGTTGTGACAGTGACAAGTGTTCCTGCAGCCTGGCCCGTAGCTGTTCCCCTGGCAGGCTGCAACGATAGAATTCCATAAAACCCCATCAGGAAGCGTCCAAGGAAGCCCAGAGCAAGCACGAGATGCAACACAATGCCAGGGAAATCAGGTTGGAGCTGTGCTCCAATTACACTTTTCACATCATAAGAGCGCCTAAGCCCATATAAAATCACAGAATCATTAAGTTGGAAAAGATCTTCAAGATCATCAGTCCAACCTTTGGTCAAATACCATCGTGATCCTTAAATCAAATCTCAAAGTGCTGTGTCCACTCATTTTTTGAGCACTTCAAGGTATGGTGACTTCACCATCCCTGGAAATAAATAAATAAATGAACATAAAACCCCATATATTAACCATGTCTGACTCTAGAGACAATAGGAGAATCATTTAGGTTTCAAAAGACCTTTAAGATCATCAAGTTCAGCTGTTAACTCAGCACTGCTAAGTCCACAAGAGCAGCCAATACATAAACTGCAAAAGGTATTTAAAAAAAAATAATTCCACACGTAATAAGATCACGTCTGCAACACTCCCAGTTTAGAGATAATGTGTCTTATGAAAGTTTAACATAATAATGTGGGTTAAAAATATGTTTCACAGCTCATTCTGAAGGGGTTTCTATGGAGGGGCTGGACCACTGGAGGTGATGGATCAGCTGTCATCCCCTGCTCTGCAGAACGTCTTTGTGCTAAACTAATGGTCCAGCAGAACTGCCAGCCTGACAGCCCTGGTATTTATTTGCATCCTGGTAAGAGAACTGACAACTTCATTGTTTTCAGTGTTCATTTTTCACAGCTGGGTGCCTCTGCTCAGCCAGACTCTCATTCTTTGGTCAGAGAGGGGTGATATTTTCAATGAGTTTGGTTAAGCAGCTGGCTCCCAGGTGAAAACTTAACGCAGTCATCTTGCGAGCAAACGCTCTGCTTTCAGTGCTGCTGCCCGTGAAAAATGGCAGTGATAAAATTCCTGCAGTCTCCATTGCACTGGAGATTTGGATAGCTTTGAATGGTGGAAAACAAACAGTTCTGCTACCTTGTTTTCTTCGGATAGCATCCAAAATAATACAAAGAGGGGTGATGGAACTGTATCTCTTCCTTGCACTGTTTTTGTTCTGCATTGCAGGGGCTCCTGTCAGAGCCCCTCATCCCTGTAGCACTTCTGGAATGCACTGGAGAGGTAAATAAAGCCTGGATCCCAGACCCAGGAGAGTGTTCTGCCCTTGCTGAATGTGGTATCTTCCATGTTTCACAGCTAAACAATGAATTCTCACCGAACTTCTCTGCCTTTCAGGGTGTTGTGAACATCATGATGTGAACATGATGCAGTGCTGTGGGAGAGCAAGACCCTGGGGACAGAAGGGAGGTGTGAAACCACCTTGATCTTGGAGGCTGACAGCCCCTGAGCCATTCTCAGCCCTTTTCTCCCCATCTGAGAGCTTCCAACTTCTCAGCCTGGTTCTCAGACACCATTTTCTCCCAGGACTTCTTTTCCACACTGCTCGTTCTTGTCATCGCTTGGACCTCGTCCACATTGAAACCACAAGAAAGAGCAGGAGCTCAGTCCCATCACAGCTAAAAGTTTGTTCTGCAAATGAAGCTTGGTTGCCAAGTGAAAAGTTCAGCACATCTACAGAGTTCTGGCTCAGTTTTTGGGAGCAGAACTAAATATTTCCACAATAGAGACCAGCACTGTAGCACAACCAAGCCAAAGGAAAAACCAGCTCATCACCAGATCCCCTGACTGGTTAGCAGTGGTTTGTGTGAGGTTTTTGGAGTATGTGTGCAAAGCTCTTGTTACACTTACCAAAAAGACAATAGAGTGTTTCCGTGAAAATTCTGGTAAGAAAGCAAAAATTTCTGGAGAAGAAAATTTTAACTATTCTACTGGGTAGACACAAATGTTTTTTGCTTCCTGGTGGGACAATCCTGATTTTCAAAGTACTTTTCTGAAGATTAAGGGAAAAAAGTGATATACTGAAGCTATTTCATGGTGTTCCACAAGTGAATGTGCAAATACACCTGGGCCTTTTCCTTCTTCACAGTGATACAAAAGGGATAACTTAATCCAAAGATTTAAATTAATAGATTTCTTCCTGGTTAAAAACTTTCCTCTTGGTGTCTTTCCTCTGCAAGAGGATGATTTATCTCTTTGCAGTCTTTAAAATCCCTTTTTGCACACAGAATAAGGAACACATGAAACTGGAGACTTTTCTGCCAGACTAGAAGTCAACAGCCATCAAAAGTGCCCAGGAGCACAGGAAACTGATGGGCTCTAATGTTCTACAGGGTGTCCAGTAGCTTTGTTTTCAAGTGACTTCTGTGGATTATTCTCCACAAAATGAAGCTTTAGCTTTAAAAGAACAGGGAATTTGCAAATTCAAGTGCTTACACACCATGAAATGTCAAACCCCTGTTATCAGTGCCTCTGGCTGAGCAAATTTTTCTGAAGTAATTTATTTTTCAAACCAGTGTGGTCTCTTTTTTACCACAAGGAGCCACTTCAGTGAAGATTCTGCTGAGCTCCAACAGCTCCAGAAAGAGGCATGCTTAGTACTGATAGAATTAAGGCAAAATTCAGACATTGAATTGTGTACATCTGCTACAGACCATATGCAACATGAGATTTTTGGAGGGTTTGGTTGGTTTTTTTTTAAGTTTGCAAACTTTGGATGAATTTGCAGTGAATCAGAATGGTTTGGTTTGGAAGGGGCCCTAAAGATCGTCAGTGTCCAACCCCCCTGTCATGAACAGGAATGCCACTACATCAGGTTGCTCCTTCCATCCAACCTGGCCTTGAACACTTCCAGGGATGGAGTATCCAGAAAGGAAGGTTACATCTCTATCACAAAGAAATGCCAAATACCAGGTCCTCACTTCTGTATCACAGCACTCAGTGAACCAGTTCATTAAAACAAAACAACGAAAAAAAGAAAAAAAAAAAATTAAATAAGAGAATAGGCAACATACTTTTCCTAAGCCTCTTTCTTGGAAACCTAAAATACCTCAGGTGGACACTTAAAAAAATCCCCAAATAAAATCTCCGAGCACAAACTGAAGCTGAGGCAGAGCTTGCTTGGCAGATTTCAGCCCAGATTAACATAATTCATTTTCAAACAACTGAAACCCACAGTCTGGTAATGGAAAGCATTAGGCAGCTTCAACAAAAGGCATCACTGTCCGGATTGCCTGTAATTAGATAGCAGAGTATAAAACTCACTGCATGGCTGGCTTAGGATCAATTCAAATCCCATGATGCCAAAATTATTCCTCAATATCCTCTAGCACATTGCCTGCAATCTGATTACTTCCACACGAGTGCTGTCCTTCCAGCTGCTGGGGCTGGCGGGTCCCAGGAACAGGCAAGGTGAATATTAAACACCCTGGGAGGATGGGGAGTGCTGAGCTGTCTCCCACCCCTAGCTGCCTTGCTCTGGAGCAGCGTGGATGAGGCCCAGTTGTAAAATCAAAATGAAGATCCCTCACTTAGCCAAGAGAAAAGAAGGAGACACCCTGCACTGTTAACTGACCTCTCTCTCAAGACGCCTCAGAGGCTTTGGCACCTTCACCAGCAGGAGGAATAAATCGACGCAGCACAAAGTCTAATGGCTCTAGCACAAGATAAAAAATAGGGGTTTTCCCCTAATGTGAGTAGGGCAGGGCACCAGAGGCCATGGAGAAGGAACTGCATTTCTTAATTGAATTTAATGAAATATGTAGCAAAGTTTCCCATCCCTAATGCTAAGGATTGGGGAGGGGGAAAAGTGACACACTGCCAATGCTGTGGCTCAACAGGAAGAATGGGCTGTGACCAAGCAAATATTGTACCTGTTCAGCAGCACCTCTGCTGATCTGTGGGATGGGTAAGTGACTCTGGTCTGCTTTTGTTCTGTGCTCACTCTGTTCATCTACACTCAAAGCTTGGGTTACCCCCAGCATCTTCAGGTGGTGGGAGGTGGACAGCCAAGTGTCATAAGGAGGCAAAAACCTGCAGTGGTGGGATGTTGGAAAAAGTGTCTAAAATTGGGAAGATTCAGCAGAACTGACCCGCCTGTAAACAAAAGAGCAGGGGATTTTGCAGGAGAAGCCTTCTCAGGAGATAAGCTGTGTTGAGTGGTGGGGGAAAATGAGGGGAAAATATGAAGAGCAAGCACTGCCCCCAAACAGGGCTGATGATAAAAGAGTGTATGGCATCATCTTTTATGGCAACAGCATTGCCTCAATACAAGCCACATTTCTCTCGATTTTCTAAATTAAACCACTTTTCTACTGCAGAAAGCCATGACCCATGAATTAAAGAAGTGTTCCCTAGCAGAACTGGCTCGTTGTGGAGCTGCCCTGGAGCCCAGCTCTACACCCCAGTCCTGCAGACAGCACTCATATTTTCAAAAGCAAGTTTAGACCATGACATCATCCTAAAAGAAAACAAGGAAGTTGAGAAGCTAAAACCTGAAAATCTTAAAAAAACCCACTTATTTGCTAAACCTTGCAAACAGACTCAGTGATCTCCATATGTAAAGCCATGCAGCTAAAGAAAATAACCTAATTTCCCATGAAATGCAGTGAAAAATTTCTCAGAATAGCCAATTCTATATATTTATACTCACAAGCACTTGTTTAGCTGAAAAATTGTGGGATAATCCATACTTCTGAACATCTAGGAAACTGATATTTATTTTAAAACACATAGATTTTATAATAATTATTTTAAAAACTATTTTGCCACGCTCAAATAACAAAATGCTCCCAGCTCTGATTTTTCTACTTTGCACAGTTGTAATCTGACACTTTATAATTGATAATTAGATGAGATACACCAGAAACAGATACACAACATTTAATCACTTAATGTCACACAAAAATAAAAAGCAGGGAGCTGTCATATGGCAGGAGACAGCTCTGCTATTTAAAACCTGATGCTTATCATGTTTGTTGAGTAAAAAAAAACTTAAAGAGAGCTGATGATTTTACACAGCCACCAAAAATAGTTTCCTTTTTTGGCATCTTTGGGAAGGAAGGTGACTTATCTGGCAGTGAACCCTGGCAGGGCAGTATCCCCATTTCCAGAGGGGTTTGGGAGCAGGGGTGTACGTACGCTGCTCGCAGCTCTCCCCCAGCCAGCCGGGCAGGCAGTGGCACGATCCCAGCACGTGGTCACAGCCAGCAGCATTCTTGCACTTGCACACCTGGTGGCAGTCAATCCCAAAGAATCCGTCTGGACAAGCTAGAAATGCAAAACATTCCTTATTAGCACAGCTCCTGCTTCTTTTTTGCTGCATAAACTCCATCTCGTCTTTTCACAGATGTATCAAGGGTTAAGCCTGCCCAGTTCTGCTATGTGCATCTTGGAAGAATGTTACCCTTTTACACAAGCAACAGATTTCTGCACAGGAAAACGGGGCTGAGAATATTGAAAAGCCATAAAACAAGTGAGAGAATGGAGCTGGATTCACACAAGCTGTTCCTCGTGCCTCTGTAATGGACAGAGGAAATAATTCAACATAATACAAGACTCCAGAGCCATCCCTGCTGACCTCCCTCCTTTTGGCAATGCAAAACTTCTGCTCCCATTTACTGTCCTGATGCTCTTCTAAAGATTCTTTTACAGTGAACCTAAGCCACAGTGGTGCAGTTCAGTGCTGAAATGAAAAACCGGCGAAGTGAATGAGGAAGGAAACCCAAGACAAATTAAACGTAGCAAAACAACCCCAGGGAGCTGGAGGAGCTCTGCTCCTACATCTGGAACTGAACCTGGACTAAGGAAGAGCAGCCCCATGGATTCAATTTTTATCTGTACCAGTGCTGAGAGCAGTGAAAATAAAGATCAGTGCTTGTCAGTGGGCCACATACCCCAAATGCTGCAGAACAGGACAGAAAGGACTTAAAAAGCCACCTTTGCTGTGATCCCTGCCCTTGAAGAGCCCAGGAGTGCAGAGACACTGACTGCTGCTTCAGTTCAGGACCAGCCACAACTCCCTGGGTCCCTCTGGCACCTTCTGCCCAAGCACATAACATTCTCCACTCAGATATGGAAGCTGGCTGGTGGCACTGCTAGCAGCATCCACCAAAAATGATTCATTCCTTTGGTGATGCGAGGCCTTGTGAAGAGACATACATTATTTCATCACTGTTCTGCTTGTATCACTTGCTGCTTTCAAGAAAATTCAAAGGAAGGAAGCCTTTCCTAGATTGCTCTCACAGACTGAAATAATTTCTTTGTAGATTATTTTGTTTTCAGCCTCATTTGCCATCGTTACCTACTCTGCAACTGAAACAGTTTTGCTGCTTTTGAAACTCCTTTGAAAGAGTCACAAGATTCACAAGGTTCATTTTCACAAAGCACTGAGCAGGGCTGAAAGATGGAGCAGGCATGTACCACCTTCAGAAACGTCTAATTTTCTTTCAGAGAGTGTCTTGATAGCTTTGTTCTTCCCCATCATTATTATATGTGACCACAGCACAACTGCAGAGGCAGCAGTACCACTGAGTGGTACCAGATGAAGAGCAGCTGATCAAAGGTGACTCAGGGCAGAGCAGAACTGAGATGCTGATGGACAGACAAAAGTACTTTGAAGAGTGTGAGGTCTTTTGTCAGCATCCTGTGGCTCAGAGCACAGAAGTTCAGTCAGCTCCTGAATAATTTACAGCAAGGTCTCATGAAACAGCAGCCCTGGAGCAAAAGTGTCTCCTGCTATGGGTGAGCTTGGAAATTGTCCTGTGCTGGGGGGTGATGATGATGATGTGGCTTTGGTTGTTATCTGTATTACTGACAGACATATATAGATTGAGACTCAGCAAGGATTAAGTTTACATTAACAATTCTAATAAATATTAATAAGAGATTACTAAATTTGTTGCAAATAAGCTTGGAAATGGTCACTGAAGTGGTGTCTTGCAACAGAGGCTGGTACCTAAACCTATGAAGCCTTAATTCATATTGAGGGCAGCAAATTAATGAAAATAAAAGCACCTTCCCACCAAAATGAAAAGAAATTTTCCCCAAATGAAAACCAAAAATCCGAGAGCAAATTTTGGTATTTCTGCAGTCTCAGCTTGAATCCAGATTCCATGCTGCAACAATGCAAAATACCAAAAGCAACAACTGCATGTTCAAACACCCTTGCTGTGCAGGGGTGACATTAATTATTAATATCAATCAAAATCAGATTTTTGTAAGGGGCTGTCTTCTCCTAGGACTTTGAACTCAGAAGTGCAAAAGTCTCAGTTTCAACATCTCTGTGATGACTGAGAAGTCCTTCCCAGCCACGGGCTGAGGCATCAGCAGGATGTTTGAAGTCCAAGGCAACTCTGCAGCGCCAGGACTCGATGTGAATTTCTGCCTGCAAGGCACAGAGCCTGGCCAACGTGGGTGGATTGCCAAGAGGACGGCAAAAAGCACATCCCTGCCAGAAGGAAACCCTGCCAGTCTCCCAGTCACTCGAAACAGAAGCGCTACAGCTCCTCCGAGAGAAGGTGCCAAGAAGGTTCTACCAAGGGCAAACCACCCACATGTTTTCCTCCCTCGGCGTCTTTTGGAAGCTGCCAAACTGTTCTGGTTAAAACTTCCTAAGTTAAGAGGTAACCCAGGTCAGCTGAGAGCAAACACTGCCTTCTTGAGAGAAAACATGCGGAAACGGTGTTTTACAAAGCGCTGAATTTCACTCTCCCCTCCACAATCTTCCTTCAGGACTTAAAAAAAGATAAAAATGTCCAACATGACTGATTTGGAAGCTGAGATTTATTCTTTTTTTCCCACCAATAGAATCACCCAGTCTTCTCCACATACCTCACACCTAAGGATGTTTAGCCTCTTTGTTCCCATTATAATTCCTGCTGGAATGAAGAGATTTACATAGCAACACAGATGACTTCTTTTTTTTTTTCCCCAATAAAAATACAATAATTTTTTTAAAAATAGTAGATTTAGGAAAACAGATTTCAGCTAAATTATATTTAAAAGGGACATAGCGGAGATACCATGAATTCCAAGGTGAAATTTGCAGCAGAGCCTTGGAAAGAGTATTTATTTTGTATAATAGTCCCTGGTAAGAATGAGAGGGAAACAACAACAAGCACTAGCAACTCCAGCCGGTGGATGCCTAGCCACATTCCTGGTCAGGCTGTGGAGCATCTTCCTTCCCATGAGAGGGCAGCAGCTGCCTGCAAGTGCTGCCACTTCCCTCCATCCTCGCCACTGAAACCGGCAGATAAAGCTGCTTTCCATGAAAAATAGTTGTGACTTTGGTTCAAGTACCATAATCTGCAGAATCTTCAATCACCTACACAGAACTTTCACAGTGCCTGAATGGCCTTGTGTTGTTTCTCTTGTATATTTTATACAAAAAATCTGCAAAATGATGCAGCACGACAGCAACCTCCTGTGATAATGCCACAGACTGACTCACCATAATATAGCTAAAGAATCCAGTCCAGCATTTCCAGCACCTTACCAAATGACTAAGTAATAGAAGATTAGGTAGAATAGTATTGGACATATTTAAGTTAGAAGTGAATCTGTTCTTAAAGAGTTCCACAGGGATGATGCACACATTCATGTTTTTCTCGAAATCGCTTCAGGGAGGCACTAGAAACAAGCAAGCATACGGCTGAACAAGCATCTCCCTGCTCATTGCTCAAACTGTGGTACTCTGCTTGAAAAGTGTGTCCATAAAGATGTGATACAGCAGAAGCCTTGAGCATATATTTAATTTTAACCATGTGAAAACATGTGCCTGACATTTGGCACCCAGCACGATGCTCTGCTGAGTTAGGAGGGGAGTTCACATTTCGGTATCGGCTTCCAATAAAGTTCAATGGTTTATTTAGATCCAGTGCTGTCAATTGTAAAACCTGCTCTCTGAATAAAAACCAAAACAAATTCTCCATGAATCCTGAAGGGACCAGGGGGAGCAGCAGTACCTCTTTCACAGAAGGTTCCAGTCCAGCCCGCCATGCAGGTGCAGGCTCCACTGACGTGGTCGCAGGCGGCTCCGTTCTGGCACTGACAGCTGGACTCGCATCCTGGCCCAAAGCTCCCCTCGGGGCACCCTGCAGCACAGGAATCACAACCAGATGATGGGTTAATGCCAGAGCAGATCAGGGATCAATGGGGAGTTTTTTCATACATGGGAAATCTATTTCCAAAATAATCAAGGCGTAAAGGTAACGGCTTAAAACTAAGATTTGAATGTGCCCTTGAGGTTCAGGTAAGTTGGGCTACATTTAAGATCTATTTTAGAAAAATTCCAGAGTGTTGAAGCACTAAATTCTGCACAGAAAACTAACAAAGCCTGAGACTTCACAGGTTCTGCACAATGACACTTTGCCCACTGGTCTGGAGTTGCTTATGTGCACATCTCCTCTGGGACTTCATCAGCTGGGAGGGGAGAAACTCCTCCATTTTCCTGTAAATCCTCTTTCCCCAGAAAGCTGGAGAAAATATGAAATGTGTTGGTTGCCTTCACAAAGCTCTAAATTGAATGCTGCACACTTTACTTTCATGCTCTGCTTTGAAAAATCCAAGTGAAAACATTACATCTGGGGGACAGATTAACAATTACATTTCCACAGCAGTTAATGTGAGGAGTTTTAAAAGATTTGCATGGTACTTGCCATCAGAAGAAAGAAAACATTTGAGAATGAAAATAATTTCTTCCAGGATTATAGGAAAATCAATTAAGAACAGGGCCAGTTGCCTAATTCACATTGAATATTTTGGACAGGCTGAAACATAGAGATAGACTTGGCTAAATACAGTATTACAGGGCCTCTACTCATGTTTGAAGGTCTTGTGAACATCCCTCTAAATGAGTTATGGAGATTATTGCCAAATCTCTTCTAGAAGCCCATGATTTTAGCATTTACAGCAACAAAGTGATTTTCAGGCAATCTGGAAGGAATCAGCAAGAACAGAAAACGAGAGTCTTCAAAGACAGCTCCATGTCTGGAATAGGGGGGTGGGTTTGGTGTTGTTTGTTTGGTGCCATGGGTGGGCAGTGATTGGAGCTGGCATGAATTCAGGTGCTCCTGCAGCTCAGGGACTCTGCCAACTGTTTGTTTTACAGAGGAGTTGGGATGGGAGATGGGAGAAGAGCAAGGTACCTCTTTCTCTTCAAAGTACTTCTTTTCTTTCAAAGAGTCAAAAAATGGGACATTGTTTAAATGTATGTTGGAATTTATTTTTTTGCACTCACAGGTGAAATCCCTTCTTCTTCCCAAAGCTGCACATCCCTGTTTAGCAAATAAATACATAGAGGTGTTCTGTGCCTTGAAAGCTTGATCCTTCTCCATGCTTCCTTTTCAGCTGAAATTTCAGTCTGAGAATTGTGCAAGGGAAACGGTGCTGCAGTGCAGCAAGGGGTGTGGGGCTCTGAGCAGAGCTCCCTTCAGGCCCACAGTGTTTAGCCCAGAGCTGAGGCTTTTCAAGGTGATGGAAAAGGGTCAGAGCACTTCACAAATGATTTCACAGTCCACAGCACAGAGAATCTGCCCCTGCTCCAGCAGGCACAGGCTGCTGTGATGCGTGTCAGGATCCAGCCACCCCAACAGAGAACCTGAGCTCCTGCTGGGGAAGGAGCCCAACCTGCAGGGAGAGGGTAGCAATGCCTGGGGAGCAGAAGAAATATCAAGGGATATTTCAAGATATCAAGATGTCACCTCCAAGGCAGCATAAAATCATGGGAAGAACTATGGTTTTCATAATCTTGCATGTACACACACACACACAAACACACACATATGTGCAATTTTAAACATATATATATACATACACACACAAAAGAAGGTAAAAAGCAGACTAAATAGAAGAGAAAGCTCACAGAAAGAACTTTAGGAACTGCCAGATGTTTTGTCAATGGTGATGGCTTCACTGATTCCCTTCCCAGCGAGGATTACAAGCGGCTATGTGGCCACTCTCTCTCTGCAAAGATGCTATTTTGGGAGAGATCAAGAGTGAAAGAGCAGCAGAGCTGGCAGCTCCTTCTCTGGGAGCTGGTCCTCCCCACACACTGTCCTTCCATTCCCTCTGTGCCAACAGCAACAAGGGCTGCAAGATCAACTTTCCAGGCTTTCTTGTCTCAGGTCACGGTTCCAGATTAATTGTTTTGACATTTCTGTGTGACACCAGCAGTTAATCCTGCCCACGCTACTGAGACTCTGGTAGCTACATCTGTGCTACTGTAAGATTGTTAAACTAGTTGATAAAATGTTTATTTTATTTAACAACATCAATATAATCAATAATAATAGTAATAGCAGCTTAACTATGCAACTTACTGCCACAAGATGAAGTGGGTTCCAAATGCTTGCATGAAATGAAAAAGAAAATAGGCACGTTAATTGGAAAAAAAAATAAAAAATCAAGTTGCATTAAATATAGAGATATTGCTTCTGTCTCAAGAAGCTCCTGGATGAGAAATTGATGACACGTGGGGAGACATATGAGGAATTGACTATGAGGCTGTTTTCATATGCTTGAAGCATCTACTATTGACATCAGGAGGTGAATGTTAAGGTGAGGGTTGTGGGCCTCTGATAAGACCATTACACATTTTTGTTGTTAATAAATACAGGACTCCAAAACTTCCTGGTTTTCCTTCTGTTATGTACATGTGAAGTATTTCTATATGCCTGACCTGAAACAGAGATTTAAGAAGGGTAAGTGCTGCCCTAAAACCAAATAAATAAAAGCAGTACAGAAACTCTTATGCCACAACCCAAAAATACATCAATCCTATCCCTCTCACGAGATCCTAACATTAAAAATAGCTGCTGGGTCCAAAACAAGGCTGAAAATACCTTTTCTGGAAATCAAATTAGGGAAAGCATCTAACCCTGGTGAAACGCGAGAGCGCAGCGCCGGGCAGAGCGGGGGAGCGTTCCTGCGGGGAATGACCAGGAAAACACAACTTCCAGAGCTGGGGTTTGGGAAGTTGCACGTGCTGGGGAGGCTGGCACTTACTGAGCTGGCAGTGCTGCCCGGTGAATCCCGGCTGGCAGGAGCAGGTGCCTGTGGCAGGGTCGCAGTCGCCGCCGTCGCAGGCGCAGGAGTTGGCGCAGCCCTGGCCCCAGCGGCCGCTGCTGCAGGCTGCCAAGGGAAACGGGGTCACATCCAGCACCACCCCCAAACCCTGCTGCACTGCTGCGTGAGAGAATGCAGAATGCACAAAATGGCTCGGGACTGAACTCCCAGCTGCAGCACAGGCGCAGGTTGTGGAAATAAAGAGGTTTTTTGCTGGTCTGTTTTCAGCCGGACGCAGGCAGATATTATCCCATCCGCATAAAACTAATCAATCATAGTCATAAAACTAATCATTCATAAGCTGGGCCAGGGGAAATTTAGATGCTAGGAAAAAGTGTTTTATTGGATCAACTGCCTGGGGAGGTGGTGGGGTCACCATCCCTGGATGTGTTTAAAGGAAGACTGGATGTGGCATTCAGTTTAGTTGAGGTGTTAGGACATGGGTTGGACTTGATCTTAAAGGTCTCTTCCAACCCCGTGATTCTGTGAATCCACCCCCATCAATCACAAATCTGTAATTTAATGGAAATAAAATATCAGCTGTTGACTCCCTAAACAGAAATCTGCATAGCCAGAATAGTTAATGGGTTTAACCAGACAGATTTGGGAGCACCCTCCATGTTTTCCTCAGAATACCGGGAAATGCAGCAGGGACACAAAGGAATCTCACAATGTTTGTTAAAGCAACTTACTGCTTTCATCCTAAAATCACATAGCACTGACACAATTACAACAATGTACCACAACATCTTCTTTCTTTTGAGTAAGGAAGAAGATGAAAGTGCCAATTAGGGCAACAGAAACCTGGTTTTGGAGCTGGGAATCTGTTTAATGCCTGGTCTGCAATAGCTGGCAGAGCTGCCTTACCGAGATATCACTGCAAAACAATTTTTCTCAGATCTTACACTGAATAGAAATAAAAGCTTTCCTTTGTCATGGTCTCTCAATTCTCTAGACGGCCCAGGGAGTCGTGAAAAGCCATCTCTGTGGCTCTACACACTACCGACTGGTTTGATTTTTAAAATATTCATATGGGTGGAAACTTCAGATTTTCTCAGCATTTTCTTCAGTGCAGAGCCTGAGAAGTCAGGTGCAAAACTTGCTGCTGTCAACACTGCCAATTAAATGATTTTATGTGTTTGAGACCAAGTTTAGAAGGAGGTTTGTTTCTGTTGGCTTTTTGCAAGAGGCATCACAATGAATCAAACAGAAGAGATGTGTCACAGGAAAAGGGAGGAATCAAGCAGGATGGTTTCACATTTGTATGGTGCCATCCAAAAAGGGCAAATCTACTCTCTCACACAGCCACCAATATGGAGAGCGATGCTAAAGTCAACAGAAGGATGCTCTGCTCTTCCAGAGAACAGAATTTTTTACAGCATTTATATTCCCAAGTTAAAAAGTGACCTTTAGACACACGACTCTACATGCCACTCACTTGTTGAATAAATCTCCCCCTAACAAAATGAGAAATGGAGAATTAATCTCAAAACTAATCTGCACTGAAAATGAAAAACAAAACTGTCTGTCAGTCAAAATGCTGACGGGACAGATGGTATTGGGCAAAGGGATCCATAGTGTTGAAATAAGAGCTTATATCAATACTTTGCACTTCATCAGCCATCTATTTCAATGCTTTGAACCTGGATAATTAAGGATTATAACCACCCAGGCTGTACAAACCCACAAAAACACCATTTCAGAAGCAGTAAGATTAGCAAAACGATATTAAAAAACTGTAATAAGCTAAGAGCAAACAGAGCTGGTTCCTCCACGTGCAGTCCCCGGGAGATCCCGTGTGCCCTGACTTACGGTGTTTGCAGTCGTGGCCGGTCCAGCCCGGGGGACAGGAGCACTCTCCGGTGACGTGGTGACACTGAGCGCTGCTGCCACAGCTGCACAGCGACACGCAGCTCGGGCCATAGTGCCCATCGGGGCAGGCTGCAAACACAGACAGGCTGTGACTTCACCTGCCTCACAGCCCAGCCTCAGACTCATCTTCCCGAACTGACAGCGACAGCTCACCCCCTAAAACAGGTTTAGCTGAATCCAGGGATGCAGATGGCAACACAGAAATATCTGGGATCTGCATCCCGGGTGTCTGGGGCTGAGTCCTGGAACGTGGGAATAGCCTGAGCCACTTTTGGGTACTCCTGTGCATCAGGCTGTTTCCCCAGAGGAGGAAAACCTTCCCCAAAAGCCATTTTGTGGCTAATAAGAATTAAAAACGTGCCACCACCAAGGTCTTGAACAAAGCAGAGCTCAACAGCCACACTCAAGCAGCCTTTTAACACCCAGAGGCAGCACAGGACAGTTCCTTGAAGGCATTCCCACAGTCTCTGGCTGCAGGGATAGCACTGATACTGCTCCCTCATCTTCAGTATTATTTTATCCTGCATTATCTACTCCAAGGAGTGCTGCTGCAAACATAACTCAAGAACGATGCCACGTGGGCCAGCTCACACCTCTTGCCAAACAGCCAGGATTACAGCCCCAGTGTTGTGGCTGTTAAACACTCTATTTCCAAGTACAGCTTGCCATAAATTAGGTCTAATGATACCATCCATTTGGGATGCAGCTTAGTTGATCACGTGCATTTATCTGCAATCTCCCTCCCACAAATAATGTCAAATCCAACCTGGGGAATTCCGGGAGATGAAGGGCACTTAATCTCAGATCAGCGTGCTTTATCTCACAAAAGAGTAATAAGGCAGAAATCAAAGCATAACCTGAATTTTCAATCTGACTTTCTTTTCATGGGGAAGGCTGAGGCAAGGACTCACTGGCAGAGCAGGATGGCCCAGTGTAGCCAGGGGGACAGTCACAGGCTCCAGTTTCCCTGTTGCACTGTCCCCCGTTGGCGCAGGGCTCGCAGGAGTTCTGGCAGTTTGGTCCCCACTGGCCATCTGGGCAATCTGGAGAAAAAGCACATGAGGTGTAACCAGTGCCATTTTCTGTTTCAGGACAGCCACAGATTACTGGTGTTACCCTGAAGAATTTAAAAATAATAGCAAAACTGAGCTGGATTGTGATATTATCTCTACAGACCTACCAGCCCTGCCATTAAACTGCAGCGCACAAGAACACAGCTAAAGAGAGGCTCTCTCCCAGTTTCCATCACAGTTTGTCTGTTTATTGGTTTGGGAAACAGCAAAATTTTACTTCTTGTCGGGTCTCCCAAAGCCAGGCACTCCCTACCTTGGTCCAGCACCTCACACACCTTGCTCACACGTAGCACCAGTCTTCCCAGCTGGGCAAACACACTGCCCTGTCTTCGGATCACAGGGGGCTCCTCCACAGCTGCACCTCTTCCTGCAGCCCATTCCAAAGCTTCCAGGCTGACAAGCTGGACAAAAAACCCCAAAGTCATGGTTAGAGGCATTTTGAAGGCATCAGGAGGCATCACGACCACCAATTTTAACCTGAGCTGTGCTGGTAGAAGTGATCCATGTTAGCATTAGTGTCTGAGCAACTGGTGGTCTGAAAATAACTGCAGCAGAGCCCTGCAAAATTTGTGCCTGAAGCTTTAAAAGCAACTGTTGTTACCTGGACAAATGTTAGTTTGGGTAACTGGCCTCAGCTTTGTGCCTTGACCTTTGCAGGGGGAGATGAAGAGAGAGAGAGAGACAACATTTGCCAGGCTCCAAATATCAGTCTGGTTTCAGAGGGGAACTGCCAACTCGTATCAACAACAAATGTACCCATTTATCTGCAACTTCTATATCTGAACCTAAGCTTCCTGAATAAGCTTTCCCCTCCCAAGTGTATCTCCCAGGGAAACATGCAGTGACTACCTACACAAATGGCATTTTTCTCCATGAAAGCCAGCTGGACACGGATGTTTGCAGGCTCCTGTCTCAGGGTCACACAGGACATCAGGAGGACAGCTGCACCTCAGTTTGCAACCAGCCCCATAAAACCCCGGGGTGCACTCTGGAGATAGAAGCAGACACAGAACATGTATAAGAAAGAGGAAAAATTAAGAGAAGTGAACAAAAATCAGAAAATAATTGGGCAGAAACTTGCAGAGAATATATTATAATGTACATTTTAGAGGTGTTGTTAACCAAGTGTAAATACTTAATAAATGCTTACATTTCAAAGAAGTTACTGCTTAAATATAACCCAGAAACAGAGTGGCAGAATGCTTAAAGATTTATTCAATTAGAATACTTGAGGATGTATTCAATTAAATACATTATAGAATTCTCTTCTTATATGTCTAAGTTCTGCTGCTCTCTGCCTTGGCACACAGCAAGTGCTGGGCAAGGCATGCTCCTTGTCAGAACTGAGCCCATCACCAAGAATGATAAAAATATTAAATATTTTCATTATTATTCTCCATCAAACCCACCAGAACTACTGCCATAAATCCAACACAGTCCTGCCTGGCCAGAGAAGAATCTGAAGGGAGAATCTTTATTGTGTTACTCCACTGCTGTCTGGAAAGGGCTACTGAAACATGCAAACATGAATGTGGGATACAATTCTCTTTGAACTACCCCCAAAAACTACAAAGAGCAAGTTGAATTCAAAGAGCTGCAAATCTGAAGGAAAAGCAGAATTACTGAACCTGTTTTCAAATCACCTCACTGCCATAAAACACAGACTTCACCACTTATTTACTGACTGTGTTAAAAAAGCACAGAGATAAAAACTCACATCATCTTCATTATTGAATATTGTATTAGGATTTGGATTCTGGATTTCTGTTGTCATCTGACCAGGCTAAAACTCTTCCAATTCTTAATCTCTATTCTCCTCGATGTCCCTGCAAGCCTAGCAGGGTTAAAACCCCACAAAATCATTAGCAGGATATGAATACATGAGTAGCAGCAGCCAAACAAAGCGGGTGGGTGGAGGAAGGAGAAGTTTCTGGGACAAAGGAGGAAGCAGATGTGGGGAACCTGGCTGTGTGTGGTACCTTTCTGACACTTTTTGCCGTGGTATCCAGGCTGGCAGGTGCAGGAGCCGTTCCTGGGGCTGCACTCCAGCGTGTGCTCCTTCACACACTGACACTCCTCCGAGCAGCCCGCGCCGAAGGCCCACCTGGGACAGGCTGCAGCCAGAAGAAAAGGAAGCATCAGCTCTGGCATTATGCAGGAGCTGGCTGAAACTGCCTGCTGCTGCAGAATGCAACTGCTGCAAGAAGCAAAACCTCTGTTCTGCTTTCAGCAGGTACATCCCTGTTCCTACAGCAGCACCTGTTCATGTGTGGGTGGGTAAAAGAAGAGTTTACATGGTTCCTGTGTTAGGTCATTCATTTCATGTCAAGCAATGACATCCGTGGTGAATACAAGAACCAGAAACATTTCAAAGCAAACTCAGCTGATTTTCTGAATGAAAAAAAACTTGGGTGTAATCCAAGACAAAAGCTTTCATAATAAAATCCAAAACAAAATACAAAAGATTTTTGGTCTTGTACATATTTTGCAAACAAAACCTGTAAGTACAAAGAAACTCGACCATCTATTTTGCCAAGTTTTTGTTTTAGTTCTTTTTATTCCATCTAATGTCTGATCCTCATCCTGTCCCAGCCAACCCTGCTCCCCATCTCCCACTGCAACTCATCAGCAGTCACTAACCAGCTCCAACCAGATTCCAACCTCAGCAGTGACCCTAATGTTAACCTCGCCAGCCCACCTGTAATTCTAACCTTTGAGCATCAGTAAATCTCAGTCCTTATGGCAAAGATTATTCACTAGAGGAAAACATTCATGAAGTTCCTGGGGCTTCCTGGCACATCTCAGAAGTCCAGCCCTCCTGTTACTCTCAGCCCATTGCAGCACCCAAAGTCTTGCTCACTTTATCATAAAATGGTTTGGGTTGGAAGGTTCCAGAAGGACCATCTCATTCCACCCCCCTGCCATGGGCAGGGACACCTTCCACTACCCCAGGTTGCTCCAAGCCCTGTCCAGCCTGGTCTTGGCCCACTCCAGGGATCCAGAGGCAGCCACAGCTTCTCTGGGCACCCTGTGCCGGGGCCTGCCCACCCTCCCAGCAAGGAACATTCTTCTACCATCTAACCCAAATCTCTGCTGTTTTAGTAAATCCATTCCTCCTTGTCCTAGTGCTGACTGTGCAAGAAGTCACTCTCCTTCCTTCTGCCAGCCCCCTTTATGTGATGTGGGATCTTTTGCAGACTGTTCCGCTGTGCACACGTGAAACGGATCCGAAAAGCGCCGGGGACTTACTGAGGTGGCAGAAGCGGCCGTAGAGCCCGGGGTCGCACAGGCAGGCTCCGTACAGTCTGTGGCAGTGGCCCTTGTTGGCACAGTTGCACTGTTTGTTACAGTTCTTCCCAAAGAAACCTTTTGGGCAACCTTTGGAGTGCACAAACACAGGAAGGCATCAGCAGCCGAGGGTCAAAGCCCCAACCCCAGAGTGGTTTGTGGCCGAGCTGGGGCTCTGCCTCGCCGGCCACTGGGTTTTCTCACCCCCTGTTGTGCTCATTGTTTAAAACAAAGGAACAAGGGGGGAGAAGTGGGGAGGCTGAGGCAGAGCTGGAGCCGTACCGTCCTCGCAGAGCCGGCCCAGCACGCCGGGCGGGCAGTGGCACTGCCCCGTGCCGGGGTCACACCAGCCGCCGTTCTGGCACTTGCAGACACCGGCACATCCTCTGCCGAACGAGCCGGGGGGACAGGCTGTGGAGAGAGCAGGGAGCGTGAGCACACCAGGAAAGCTATCAAGGGCTGCTGTAAAGGAGCACAACAGGGCTTTGGTGGTTGAGAAGGGCAGCAAGGCTGATGAAGGGTCTGGGACACAAGTCCTGTGAGGAGCAGCTGAGGGAGCTGGGGATGTTGAGGCTGGAAAACTCGTGGGAGACCTCATTGCTCCCTGGGAGGAGAGTGCAGTCAGGGGGAGGCTGATCTCCCCTCCAAGGCAGCCAGCAATAGGGCAAGAGGGGACAGCCTTAAAGTGCACCAGGGGAGGTTCAGGTTGGACATCAGGATGAATTTCCTCACAGAAAGCATCGGAATGGGCTGCCCTGGTAAGAGGTGGAGTCACCATCCCTGGGGGTGTTTAAGAAAAGACTGGATGTGGCACTCTGTGCCATGGTCTAGTTGAGAAGGTGATGTTGGGTCATAGGTTGGACTTGATCTCAAAGGTTTTTTCCAGCCTAATTGATTCTGTGATTCTGTGAAAACTGAGCAAGGAGAGAGTCCTTTTAGTTGAGCAGGCTCTAAACAAAGTTATATTCTTCTCTAAAGCAGCGCACATCCACCTGATATTTACTAGGACATCTCAAAGGACACTGAATTAACCAAGTTTTGGGAAGTACTGTCATTTATCCACCCCTCCACTGCACATGCTTCCCTCCCCACAAAACACAGGCTCAAAAACCACTGCCTGTCAAGTCCAAAGCTTAAACATCAGAGCACAGCTTTGAATACTTGGAGATGAATATTTTAAGCATTATTTTTTTCTCTCCCAAGCACTATTATGAAAACAACATCTTGTTTTTCAAATGTAGTTTCTGAAATTCCCCAGGTGATCATGGCAGCAGTGGATCCACAGCAGCAAAAACAAACTGTGAGATGAAGCCTCATTCTGCTGTTTGCAGCCTGAGCTGGCTGAGTGAATACAGTTGCTGGAGTCATCTGACTTTGCTGACATTTTATCAATGTACATTAAGAAAGTTGACATTTCACATCAATTTCCATTCAGGTTCTTTGGTGCATTATTAGAGAAATTTAGTTCCAGTTTTCTCCACTGTTTTAGCTTACCCTAAACCTGCTTACCCTAAACCCATGAATTGTGCTGTATATTAAAAAATGCAAGAGAAAAGAGTGAAAGCAATCCCATGTGACTAATTCACACAGATTAGATATTGTATTTATCACTGTTCCTGCTGACTTCATCAGACAGCAGGTTTAGCTCAATAACACAGTCCTTTAAATTTCTTTAAATTCCAGAGGTGAATTCCAGATATATATATCAGAAATGTTGTTATTTGGATACTTCCTTGAAACTTTTACAATCTATCCTGAACTACCAGCACACCAGGTATAGAAGTCAGAATACCCTCACTTGATAGTCTGAACTGTCTTAGACAGACTGGAAATTATCATTTTAATCCTCCCCATTTCTATTCTCTTAGCTGCCCCCCAGTGTTTACAAACCAAACCTGCCATCAGTCTCCCAAAATAGCCATGGGCAGACTGCTGATTTCAATCACTTGCTTGATTTTTCTACATTTCTGTCCATCTGATGACGTCTCCTAAACAATCTTGATGGCAATTAACCTGAAGAGTGCTGTCTACTGATGTCAAGTAATAAATTTTCATCGATTTTTTTGTCTCACCAGTGACAGCAAAGACTTTCTGAGAATGATGGGCCATCATGTCACACACCATGAAATGGAGGGACCCATCTCTAACAGGAAATCTGCTGTATGATGTCTCAGACAAGCAGCAGACAAGTTTTGCCAAACTGCAGATGAAGAACAGCGCATCGAGAAATCACCACTCTCTTTCCAATGGGTTTTGACACATACTTCTGAATCAGAAAGATCTTCTGCCAGGAAACAGGAGCAAGGAGAGTGAAAAGCTATTATAAAGGGCACTGACTTGGCAACAGAATTCTGAAAAAAATACCATTTCCAATATGAAAAAATAACTGTTCCAAGAAAGTGATGCTAATAATAAAAAGAATGATAAGGGAAAAAAGAAATAGAAAACATAAGTAAAGAATTTAAAAGGCGATATCTTGGTATGCTACAATGGAAAAGCTCAAGTTGAACACACATGTCCACCCAACTGCTGGGACAGACTTCTGGAAGTCACCAAGGTAGGTTGTGGAATGAAGCATGGCCAGCAAACTTTGGCTTTTAGCAGCAGACCAAAGAGGAATGAACAGCAGCCAAATATATAGGACGGGGATGATTCTGTCCTGACCTTCACTGGAGCACAGGCACCTCTGCGTACTGCAGCATCACTTGCAGTTCCTATTTCATAGGAACAATAAATCTGATTATGATACAGCTGTGCTCTTTCAGGAGCTTCACAGATGAGAAGTACAAGGGGTTGGTCCCATTCCCCACCTGCAGAGTCCCTGCAGGAGGATCATTCCCCCTCCAAGCCCCTGTACTCACTCTCATTGCAGGTGACACCAGCCCAGCCGGGCGGGCAGACGCAGCCGCTGCGCTCGCTGTTGCAGCGGCCCCCGTGCAGACAATCCTCACACCTCAGGCTGCAGTCCTGGCCAAACGTGTCACCCAGGCACACTGACAGCAAAAAAACACACAGGGCTGAGTGAGCAGCCAGACAAAAACAGTGCCACAAGATCTTATCTATAGCTGCGTTACAAACACTGCCGGTTCGGCACAGAAAAATGGGCACTCCTGAATTTCCCTCTTCACATTTTTGACTCTGAGTAAAAGGAAAGCTGGGAGTGCAGCAGGAATTTACTCCCCTGGATTCTGTAGTTCTCCAGCAAAGAGCAGTTCAAGCTACTTTTTAAAAGCAAGAGTTTTGCCTTGAGAAAAAGTCAATTTGCACCTGATGATGACACCTTAATAACGTTGTATATAACTTGAAGAATTTACTGAGATTTTCCTTCTCCTTGCTAGGCTATCCCTGTTGTTTTATTGCAGTAAGTGGATGTAGTGCTACTTAAACATAGTTCAGGGATATTTTCAACCACATAGTTTGAGTGTTCTAGGAAAACAAAGCAAAATACACATTTATCATGTCTCTTCTCTTCATGGATATGAAGAGTTTTATATAGGAAACCTGATATGAAAGTGCATTTTTTTCCTCTCCTTTCCCACCCTCCTTTTATCCCTTGCACCCACATGTTCTCCTTGTGGGGTCTATTGAGACAGGCATGCAAAATAAAGTGACTGTCTGATAAAATACTTCAGTGGCATTGAGAATCCCATTCACACAGCCTTCAAGGCTTTGTGGCTGTGGCTGGAGGCTTTTTGGAAGGGGATTTTTAACAGCACCTGAAAGTGAGCTGGCAGCTTGTTTCAGCCCACAGTAAGTCACAGGCTGGTTGCATTTCACCAACAGTTTTCTGTGTGAGGCCAGATTTTCTCTAGGTCTGAGCACCCAACTGTTCCCTTTTCTGTAGCTGAACAAATGCCCAAGCTTTCAGGGACATTCAGAATCCCAGTGCTCCCACTTGGAACGGGGTACAAATTCATACTTCAGGAGAATACAAACTACCATTAAAAACATCATGCTTCCACCTTAAAAAGTCATTCCAGTTAAAGAAAATATTTAATTACTTGCACCAGCTTACTGCTAAAGCAGGCTTTTTCATAATATAGATAGCAGCACAAAACCATGTCTGAAAATACAAGGAATAAATTGCTATTTGGGAGGTAAAAGAACTTACTAAACCATTTAAAGTTCCTTTTCTCCATCCCCTTTTCATACAAACCGCTGCATGCTGCAAAGTCTGAGCCTTAGAAAAAGTGCAGCTGCTCAGCTGTGACTGATAACACCCAAATTTCTGTGGCTAAATATAAATAAAACATGCAAAAAGTGGTCAATAAATATTTGATTGTGGTTTCTAGGCCTGATAATTTTGCCTGTGGTTATCTCATTTATCAGTTTCCCAGTTGGTTATCAGTGTCGCTGAGTCCGGCTGGATGCTGTGTGATTTGGGAGGGTCTCAACAGTTTTGTTCATAAAGATAAGTTAATTTTTTATTAAAGTCAAGACCAGCTCCTGATTTCTGCCTGTAGGGCACAGTCCTCAGATGGGTAATTATAGAGTTTATATAAAAATCACAGGACGCACACAGGAAAAAAACAAGAAAACCGCCCTGGTGATCCACCAGCACTCAGCACAAAGCAAACACTGGGTTTCACCTCATAATACTCTTAAAATGGTGAAGTTTTGGATGGAAAGACTGAATCATGCACAGCCCAGGTGGGTGCAAAGCTGCTCTGCACCCACTCCTGTGACAGTGGGTGCTCCTGTGCTGTTTGCCACCACTTGAGCTGAGCAATACGTGGATGGGTTGGTGCTTTTCCCAGAGAGTCAGGGGAAACCTCAATCTTCAGAGGATCCTTTTTAACACAGAAAAAACGCAAATATCTTAAACATAAAGCCTCCAGTTGTTATAAAAGGGTTTGTAAACAGGGAGCCATGCTCCCAGCTGTAGGAGAAAGGGAGTGTTTCCCCAGGGATCTAGGGCACAGCAGTAAGCCATGCCATCCTCACCCCGGCATGATGAGTTCCCTCTGGCTGCTGCCCCTGGGGAAGCCTGTTTTCCAAGCAGCTCCCAGCCACTGCTTGTTGTGCTGCTCACTGTTCCCCTGCCTCCCTCCCAAAGCATCCAGGCAGCCTCCTGGCTCCTCAGACACGTCCCATTTGGGATGGAACACCTTATCCCTTATACCGGCATGGAGACGGGCAGGATGCAGGATCAACGCTCATCCCTCCTCCTGATGCTGAGCCCCAAATCCTCTCCCTGAGACCATCCCCGCAGTTTGCTGTGCTGGCTCAGGGCACTGCTGGTGACTCACCGACCCTGTGCACCAGGGTGAGCTCCCCTCGGGGGTCTCCATCCTCAGCCAGGGGTCCCAGTGCATAGTGGAGCAGCTGGGGGGGCCCTCGGAGCTGCAGCCCCGGGGCGCCGGCCAGCCCCGCTGCCTCCTCCGCATCCTCCTCCTCCACACCTAGGGCAGGACAAACACAGCCATCAGCACCCCAGCCTGCCTCCACAGCCTCGCATTTACGTCTGTTCCTCACTCTTATGATGCCATGACATGTTCCAGCCACACCTCTGCCCAGCAGTTCCAGCCCAGGCATTTTCTCATCTGTACTTACAGAGTTTCTGCTATCCAATACAAAATAGAGAGAAAAGGAGAGACGCCCTCCCCGCCCCATCTTTCCCTTTTCTTTCTTCTGGAAAAAATCTTTGCTCCTGGAGAATCAAAATGAAATGAGGAGATTCATTTTCCTCACTTGAAGTCTGAGATTATTTTTAGTTAATGAAGGTCATTACTCTTGCCCGTTTTGGAGATGACAAATAGAAAGTGAGGCCGGCTGTGCAATTTATTTTCAGAAACATTAAAATTTGAGCCTTAAAATGACGGGAAATCAGCTGGCTTTCTTTTTGGTGTTGGTCAGAATATCAAACTCTGGCTTAAGGTTTAGCAGTTGCTAAACTTGGTTATAAAATTGAGTTGCTCTGCTAAACTCTGGACTGGTTACACTGGCAGAAATCCAGAGTAACGTCACTGACTAATGGAAAAATTGCCATGGTTGTTCAAAGAAGAATCTGGCTACCTTCTTTTTTTCCACAGGATGTTAAGCTTCATCAAATAGTGCAAGAAAAGTGTCAAAACAGTATTTATTTCTAAACCAGGAGCTTTAGGTTTTCAAACATGTCCAGGGGATTTAAGTGTTCATCTGCCATTAATCTTTGGCAAAACCCATTACTGGAGGATGAGCCTGGATCCACGCACTGCACGTAGCCCTACCCTGGCCACGTTCAGAGATGGCTCAAGCTGGGCTCCCAAAATCCCAGGATCTGTGAAAATCCCCCTTCCAAAATCACATTTTAAATCAGTGGGAAGTGCTTAATGGCCCTCAAGTTTTGAAGAAGAACTCACCCACACAGGCCCATCTGCTGTCCCCGAGCCTGTAACCCTCCTTGCAGGCACACTCGTAGGACCCCAGGGAGTTCACACAGAAATGGTCACAGTTGCCATTATCCAGACGACATTCATCCACATCTAGAAAATCCAGACATAAATGGTGATTAGGAGCAAGTACTTCTGCCTGGAGAGCCCATGCTGTGCCCAGCTGCGTCTGACAAATTATTCTATACATAAGAAAACACAATTTTTCTTATGTGTTTTGGGGCTCTCGGTTTCTCTCTGGTATTGGAGGTATGAAAACGTTTCAGGGCAAAAGGGAGCAGATTATTTCACTGATGTTTTTGTCTCGAGTGAAAACAGATGCTTGAAGCTGTTAAGCTCAGTTGATCCTTCAGTTATTTTGAGGGCTCTTCTTTTGTGGAAGGAGTGTTTAACACACATCAATATACAGTGTCCATAGAGAGAGGAGGGAAGGTTTCTCTCTGCTGGCACATCTCCCAAATCCCCACTTCCCCATGTTGGATTCTGGGTTATTCCTGTATTCCAGCCTCACGGAGTGGAAATTACACGTTTGTAAAACCTTATCAGCAAAGCTGGCACGGGGTCAGTGACTCTCATTAGGGCAGTGCCCACAAATCCCTGCAAAGGGCTTTGACAGCATTTCTTCTACCCTGGGCTGTGATTAGTTAGACCGAGCCACTGGTACTAAAAGACTTTTGACAAGGGCATGAAATGATGCAGGACAAGTGGGAATGGCTTTAGGCTAACAGAGGGAAGGTTTAGATTGGATATTAAGAGAGAATTCTTCCCCATGAGGGTGGTGAGGCCCCAGTTGCCCGGAGAAGCTGTGGCTGCCCCTGGATCCCTGGATGTGTTCCAGGACAGGCTGGACAGGGCTGGGAGCAGCCTGGGACAGTGGAAGGTGTCCCTGCCATGGCAGGGGTGGAATGAGATGCGCTTTAAGGTCCCCTGCAGCCCAGCCCAGCCCCTGAGTCCGCTCTCACCGTCGCAGGAGCAGCCGTCGGTGCTGAGCTGGAACCCCGCCTGGCAGGCGCACTCATAGCCCCCCGCGTAGTTGATGCAGAACTGGGAGCAGCAGGACTCTCCAGTCTCACACTCATCCACCTCTGCAAGGAAAGGGCAGCACATGGAGACACCCTGAGCTGCTGCCACAGCTCTGCTCAGAGCTATTGTGCTGCAGCTCTCACCGCTTTACACCTCCCTTCAACCACACAAACACCTCTGAACCCCGAATCCTGGCAGCACCTGCCTTCCACCTTCTCCCACAGCAGCCAGGAGCCTCCATGTCCCGGGAGAGGCCTCTCCTCTACAAGTCTGAGCTGCCACGAGGGGATTTAGAGAACACCAACTGGTCTCGCTGCTGACCAAGGACAGGACCTGAGGGAAGGGCTGGAGCTGTGCCAGGGAGTTTTAGGTTGGATTTCAAGAAAGGTTCTGGTACTGCCCAGGCTCCCCAGGCAGCCCTGAGGCTGCCAGAGCTCCAGGAGGGTTTGGACACCACTTCTCTTTGCACAGAGTGGGGTTGTTGGCGTGTGCAGGGCCAAGAATGGGACTCAGTGATCCTTGCGTGTCCCTTCCAACTCAGAATATTCTGTGGTTCTATGAAAAGAGACAACAGCAAGGACCCACCAGTCCTCAAAAGTGTTCTGTTTAACAGTAACCTACATTTGACCATTTAGACTTCTTTACATTCAACCTTATTCAATGCAAACTAGCAATGCTCTGATCCAACCAGGCACTTGCTGGACAGCAGCAGCCTGGAAGGATCAATTGTAGTTTTTGATAACTGATTTCCTGTTGCCTCCTCCTGCTCTGTGCCCGCTCAGAAATTGGTATCATTGACACCACTGTTGTGGTGATTAGATAGGAGAGCTGAGCTGTTATCTGTGCACTGCAGGCTCCTGGCTGCTGTCAGGCTGCTGAGCAGGTCAGTGGCCATCCAAGGGCCACCTTGTCAGTGCTGAGTCTGCACAATGCTTCTGAACAGGGCCTGGCTGAGCAGCTGCAGGTGGGAAAGGTCAGTGTCTCAATTAACCTTGGAAGGAGCACCAACTTTATGAGGAAACAGGGACAGGAGAAAGAAAATGTAATTAATCAATGGAGGTGAGGAGGTCAGTGTGAAAATGATTAATGCAGGTTATTTGAAGGCAGTGTTTTCCAGAGATGTCACGAGCTGAGCTCCTCTGCAGTACATCAGGTGATGCCTCGCTCTGGGTTCCAGCAGCAGCCCCTTTGTGTAGGAATGCAAAATCTGCATCCAACAAAAAGGAGATTTTTGCTGTTAAGAGCCACTTTTCATGTCCTCAGCCTTCCTCTGTGTTCTCCCCCTTCCCTTGCTGTGTCTGGAGTATCTGCTTCCCTCTGAAATCCCCAGCAGCAGGTCACTGAGCTGGGATGTGGGCAGGAGGCTGCTTTGCCTCCTGTCAGCTGTACAGACAAGACTGTGTAACCCACCCACCCCTGTGAGGCTCTGGCTCCAAATCTGCCTCCCAAACTTCTTCTGTTTTGCTTTTTAAGCTCCATCATCACCCGCCCTTGCAGCCCTCAGTGCTTCCCTCCTCCCCTGCTCCTCCTCTCTCCTGCACTTGGCTTTTTTTCCTTGCAAGACTCCTTTTGTCTGTAATGCCTCTCACACTCATCAGTGCTCCCACTCTCTACCTCTTCTCATCATCTCATATCTCACTACACTGCTCTGTGGTGCCTGATCCTTTTTCCATCCCCCCTCTCTTCCTGGCTATTCTTGAAAATTGCAGTGGCATAGCGACAGCAAGCCCAAAGCAGAACGAGACACAGTTTGCATGGCAAAAGCCATAAACAAAACAAAAACATAAAACAAACACACACAAAAAGAATCTCATCGTGGAATTGCTTAAAACATGAATGAGTTTTTAAGCTCTTGTCTTGAAATAAACCCAAATCTAACTCTGTTGCTTTCACCTCCCAAGTGAGACTTCTCACAGGCAGAGGTGTCACCTCAGCCCTGAGCCAGTGTGATGGGAACACGGCAGAGTCTGCAGCACCGAGCGCAATTTGTGCTTGTGCCGCTGCCCCAGCCACCAGCTGGGAAGGGAAACCAAGTCAGGGCTGTGATGCTCGGGCTGCCCATGGTGAGACACGGGGGTGATGCACCAGTGTCACTTCCACTCCCTCCCCTCGTGCCCCATCCCAGCGAGCTCCCAGAGCCAGGCAAGCCGGAGCAGCGCCGGAGGACAGCGTTAATTAACGCCTGCAGAAGGAGGGAAGGCACGGGGAGCCTTTCCCTGAGCGACAGCTCTCCTGCAGGCTCCCAGGGCTCCTCCACACCTGCTCCCTGCTCCCAGCACGGGTTACCTGTGCAGGTTTTGCCGTCCGTGCCCAGGCGGTGGCCGCGGTGGCAGGAGCAGCGCGGTCCCGCTGCCGTGTGCTCGCACTGGTGGGAGCAGCCGCCGTTCCCGTCCTGGCAGCTGTCCACAATTTCCATCTCGATGCCTTGCAGAGAAATAAATCAAAAGGATGTTAAAAAGCAAGCCCAGGGGGGAGGCACTGGGGGATCATGCTGTAAAACAGCAGCCATGAGTGCTGTAGCGGTGACTATAATCAGCTCACACGCCCTCCCCAGAAGAACAGGCTTTGGAGTCACTGAGCTCCAGGTGTTTGTGTCAGAACGGTGGATGCTCTCAAATTCAGCCATGTGAAGCTGCTCCAGTGTTCCAGCAGCCACCTGCTACAGGAGCCTCCCCAGGTTTCCTCAGGTTTATGCTTTGTCTGGACACAGTTCTTGCCCCAAAGGAGGAACAGAACCATCTGAGGAGCCCAGGTGGTGCCCCTCATGATGCCTTAAGTTTTTGCTTTTCTATTTCTCATATTCTGTGGTGCCTAGGTGTGTAGTTTTAAGCCTCATATTAAGTGTCAGTGAGCTCTCTTTTCTAGCTTGACACCAAGGACAATTGTTACAACTTTCAGGTCCAAAAGCAGAAACAACAGTGGGCTGAAGAGAGAAATCAAGAAGGATGAGACTTCATAAGCTGAAGCAGTGATTGGACAATTAACCCTGATATGCAGATGGACAAAACTTATAAAAATGTGAGACCTCATGACCAGTCATTAATTTTGTGACCAGGCTCTTGTACTGCCCAAGGTGTGTCCTTTAAGGCCTTTCAATAAATACCAACTTTATTAATTCTGTCTAGCCTCTGTTCTAGGTCAGCCTTCTCCACCCAACCTGACACACCTCCCAAAGAGCAGCTTTGAGTTTTGCATGGCAATGGCAAAGAGCTGGACACCGAAACATCCCTCAAACACAAAGGCATTGAAAGTTCCTCGGCAGAGCCCTGCTGGTGAAATGGACACCCAACCACAATGAAAACTAGCTCCAGGTTTTGGTTCTTGGATGTCCCTTCCAGGGGGACACAGCAGCTCTGCTGAGACTGTCCCCTATGGCTGAGGGTGGTACAGTGCCACTGCCAGCCCCCTTTGCCCTGACAGACGTCCCTGCTCTCCTCATGTGGCTGCACTGGACAGTGCTCAGAACATCCAGTGGGAGCCCTCACATCAAAAAGGGAACACCTGGACACCTCATTTCCACCCAGCTACTTCATCAGATGATTTCTCCAGGATGAAAAGAAACCATAAGGTCAGTTATAAATTTTTTTTCATGAAGGATTATCCAGCTTGTCTTGTTACAAAGCTATTTAGAGAGGAAATAATTTCTCCTACTACATAGGGGAACTGAGAAACACTCTTGCTAAAGGAGCCACTTGTCCTTCCAGAAACACCCCAGCTCAGAGTGGTGGCCATCAGATCTGGCACAGAATTTCCCCAGACACATCTGTGCTGCTGGGCTCTGGTCCTACCCCTCCTTGTGCTCCCAGGGAGCAACCTGCTTGCCAACAAGAAATATAATTCCAGCTGGAAGAGGGTATAAATTAAGAGAATAAATATATCCACATCTCATGCACAGTGTGATTATTTGCACCAGGGAGAAGAAATCGTGTCTCCTGTCCAGTGTGTTAAGCTTGGATTTAGTAAACCTAGCGATTAAATGCAGAATCTGACTTTATACACTATCTTCATCATTTACTTTGTCTCAGTTCTTCATCAGTAAAGCTGAAATACCAGCTCTTCCCCAGCCACTGGGGAAATGAAAGAATAAACAAAGATTGTAAATTGCTCAAACACTGGGATAATCCTGATCATAAATATATGCAGGATGTTTTTATTTTTATTGTTTGCTCTGCAATATTCTACATGAGGCACAGAGAATCACCATCCCCTGAGATCTGCTGAACATCCAGAAAAAAATATTATCAGAAAAGCACAATGAAATCTAAGTGGTTTAAACCTCTTTTTTATGCCCATGACAGAAGATTGCATATCTATATATTAATCACATTTCCTCTGCCATTGCACCACTCACAGATCCCCAACACCTATGAAATAACTCTCCAGGATGCCTCTCACATAATTGGGTTTTGTTTTTAATGTATGTTAATGCCTTGAAACTGGATTTCATTCTTAATAACTATTTTTTACACACACATTCTTAAATAAAGCACTCATTCTCTGGCATGCAGCGTATTTTCCTAAGGAAGCTCTGCTGAAAGCTCTTGCACAGTATTATTAGATTGAATGATCTTTGCCCACCTCTTTGCTAAAACAGGTCATGCTTTTGTCTGCATTCCAGGGAGCTTATGTTAGGTCCATAATAACCCAAACTCTTCCACATCACCTCCTTTATTAATCTAAATTTGCCCTCAAGGGCAGGCCAGGGATCACCTATCAGCTAGCAGCACCGGGAGTCAGTCCCCCTCTCCAGAAAAGCCGTGTTGATTAAGAAACCCCGCTGGCAAGAGGAAAGCACGTGAGGAAAGACAACAAGGCTCACTTTAGTTTGGGAAGTTTGAGCTGTTCAACTATTTCTTCATCCCAAATCTATCTTTTTTTTTTTTAAAAAAGGCACCCTCTTAAGTAGTGTCAGTAATCTCGGGAGAAACATATGCAAAGCCAGACAGGTAAAGACAAGAGCAGAACACATCTTGGTTTTCTCTTGCATCAGATCTGTAAGAAAGCTGTGAGGAGGAGGAGGAGGAGGGTAGGAATGAATACATTTCACAGAACAGCAGAATTCTGGTAGCTCTGCAGCAGAATTCACCAGACTCTGAAGATAAACCAACAGGGCTATTTGCTCTTTGAAAGGCAGTAATTAAGGTCTGTGAACACAGGCTTAGGAACGTGTCACCCTGCAAACCCAGCAGCAGAGGAAGAAAACAGTATTAAGCTTGAGCTTTTGCACACATTTATTCTGCTGGGAATGCTAATCCCAGTGAGTGAGAGGCCTGGCAGGGAGCAGAGAGGAGAGGCTGGGAGCAGGGCACTTACGGTAGCACTGGCGCCCGTCCGCGCCCAGCTCGAAGCCGGGGCTGCAGGCACAGCTGAAGGAGCCCGGGGTGTTCACACAGCGATGGGCACACCTGGCTCTGCCCTCTGCACACTCATCCACGTCTGCAAGCAGAGAGAAAGTCGTTCAGCTGGAGATTGAAATGAAAAATAATGCTGTGCTACATGGATGTGGCTGCAACTCCAAATATCTGCTGAAGGATTTATCCTGGGGTCTGTCTACAAGGGACAGCACCCCATGAACCCAGGAACATTACACTCACATTATTCTCCAGATCAATCTTTTTTTCTGAGCACCATTGACCTTGAACTTCTCAGTGTGAACATTTACAGTATCACACACTATATTTGCAGTATCAGCCAAAGCAACTTATTTATTATTCCTGTAAAAAGAGCAATGGCAAAAGAAGACCTTGTGTGAAGAACTCAGAAGAAACTTCCAAAACTCTGAAATTATCACCATGTTCTCCCAGCCATTATAGTTAAATTAGAGGATCAGGAAATAGCTGATTATTTTCTGAATGTCAAATGATCTGGATTAAGTGGTGGTTTGGTTTCAGCAGGGACAAGGGAGACAGATCATCCCTGAATCCTGCAGCTGCTTCTAGAGCAGTGCAGTGGGGAGGCACCTGCTGCACCCACAGCAGCTTCCCCACCCCTGTGAGGAAAGGAAAAGCTGCAGGGCCTGAAGTGGGGAGACTGCTCTTCCCCCAGCCCTCTGTCAAGCAGGCTGCTCCTCAGCTTCACACTTGCTGGTCTGTATTTTGGAGTTAAATGCCCCCAAAGGTGTCCATCGTCCTAAAATCTCAGTGGAACATGAAAGCACTTTTAAGGAGCAATTAGTTAAAAAATAACCAAACCCACAAAAATTTACAGTAAATACAGCTGCACAGAACCTCTATGCAAAGACTGGGATCACACGTAGAAAACCAGGGATCTGCCTCCTGTTCCTTCCAATTCTGACATCTTTCTGGCAAAACAGAAATTATTTATTGCACTGATCCCAGGTCAGTGTCTTGAAAGTGTCAGGGAGCAGTGTGATGTGCAGCTCTTCGCTTTTTATCCCAGAAAACCACTTTCTAACAGTTTTGTCCTTCCACACGTGCTGTGCCCAGTGCTGTGCTCGTGGCCCCTGCACTTGAGCACAAGGAGCTTGAGGGATGCAATCAGGATCCTTGCAAAGAGAGGCCCCAGGCACTGCAAACACCACACACTGGCTCATGAAAATTTCAGGACAAATGACAGCTTCTCTGAAGCAGCCATGGGAGCAGCTGCTGCTAAGAATAAAATGGGTTATTTCTCCTTTTTCTCTTAATTGTCAGTTGGTGAGTACGCTGTGCTGGCCACCACTGTAAATATGCTTTTCTCTTCTTCTTTTTAAATAGAAAAATAGAAAGTTGAACCACAGCTACCATCCTGCACAGGTTTCTTCCTGTCCTACAGCTAATAGCTGAAGTATGACACTTCAGCTGCCCTCTGTCTCCTTCCAGCTCGGTTTCCAGAGAGTCAAACAGCTTGAATTTTGCAAAAGACATTGAGTAACTTCTAGGAGCAAAAACCAATAATTGTATATCCATGGTAAGACATGCTGCTTAATGATTCAAAAGATTGTTGCCATGAGGCTGGGGAGAAAATTTGTTCCAATATATAACACTGCAAGTTAACTCAGTGATTCAGTTTATCCATAAATCAACAGAACTGTCATTGTGTATCTGAGATAAAATGAATAACAGGCTGACCCTACTGCTAAAACCACTGTTGTTTCCATCCACTCCTTAGCAGTACATTACTTGAAAACAGTTTTGATTTTCAGTAATTACTCATGAGTAATTCCAGTAAGAGAGAATCTCTAAGATCTGCCATTCTACTCACAGAAGGGCTTACAGGCAACTGAGTAAAATACTCAGGGTAGGAAGTAAATATTTTGAAAGGTACCCAGCACCCTTTATATGAAACAATAATTTAAATATCAACAAGATTTTGGCCAAAAGAGGAGTGTAAAATTAGTGTCTGAATATATCTATCTATCTATCTATCTATATATATATATATAGATATATATATAGATATATTCACACACACACACACCCTAATCCTGACTTGGCTATTAAAAATCTGCGCACCATCAAGTCCATAAATGCTTTTTACTTCATAAAGCTACTAAACTATCTTCCAAGAGTTTCACTGCAAGAGAAAAGCAGGTATTTTGACCTCCAATTCCCCCACATTTTGGGTCAGAAACACTACAGATCCTTTTGACAACCCCAGACTAAATACAGGACTTTAGAATTCAACTTTTTAAGCTCCCCTCTTTGGAAATCTTACACATCATGGTTTCTTCCTTCACAGTAGTTTCTCCATTAATATGGAAACAGTTCTCCAGCTAAAAAGCCCTTTGAATTCTGAATAGTTTTCAGTGACCTGGTTCAGAGTTTTACTTGAACCAATTTTCCAGAAGCTGTATCTGGGACATTATTTTAAAGGGACCCTGCAAGAATAACACTACAGCATTCACAAACCCAGTTGCTAGAAAGCATGACTTAGGAGATCACAGAGGAATTGTCACCACTAAAAAAGTCCTTCAAGACTGTGGGCTGATGTGAACATCACAGAGAGAAACGCTGTTTCAAAATGCACACACGTATTTGTATAACATATCCCTTTCCACTCACTAAGCTCAGTAAGCCAGAGCACTGATGAATAACTTTCTTCACAATAAAGACTCCAGAGTTTCTTACCTAAACAGGACTTTTTGTCTCCGGAAAGAGAATGCCCTGGATGACACCCGCATTTTGCAATTCCTCTCTCGTTCTGACAGATTTGTGAGCATCCTCCATTCCCACTTGTGCAGGGGTCTATCACTGAAACCAATTAGAGCACACTGTCAACTGAAAGGTCACTTTTTGCCTGGAAATAGTCTTACCTGCCATTGTTACAACTAACAACGAAGTAGCTCTAAGAGATTAGACTGGGGAAAAAAAATGTGACAGCAGCTGGTGAGTACAGCTGCTGTTTTCTGGATGTTCTTTGTTGCTGGACAACATTTTTCACAGAGCAGCAACGAGGCTTTAAACAGCAGGAAACCAAGCTTGTATTACATTGGAAGTAGGACAAAAAAGTACATTTTATTGTTATTTTGCTGTACCTGAACAGATTTCAAGAGTTCTCTCTAAACAACAGCAATTAGCACTCCAGTATGTGTGAATCCATAAACACATGCAATGATGGAGTTCACCACAAAACAATGAATATTTAAAAGGCTCGATAGGAAATAAACACTGAAGAACCCCCAAAGACATCTTTCAGTCTATAAACATATGCCATTCATGTTGTACATCAAGGCTTTTTTCCCCCTCTTGAACAATAACATACCTTTTCAAGGATAAGCTGCTCTAAGTAGCAAGTACTTAGAAAAACTTTCATGAAATGCCTACAGAAGCCTCCATCTCGAAGCTTTCACTGTGTTTTATGGGTTTATTTCTGGAACATGTACCTGCTGGAAGCGTACTGCCCCCACAGAGACTTGGAACACCCCAAAATAGACCCAGCACAACTTTTCAGACAGGTCTGACTTGGGTTGAGATCTGACATTCTGCACCAGGCTGAGGATTTGCTTTGTAGAAAACTCATTACACCGAAATTCTGGTGGATAACACTGCACAGGTAAATTTGGAGGACACCTTGAAAATGTATCCTTTAAAGTTCTGCTTGACTTTGAATAAAACTTCTTAAAAGCTATACCTATTTCTTTACAGCTCTAATTCAGTTTCAGCATTTTACTAATTACTGTCTGATTTGAGACTGATGACCAATATTCCTCACTTGCCTCCAGCCCCTGCTCTGTGTAAGCCATCTTCTCTCAGAGCCCCAGAGGAAAGTCACCATCAGCTCAACAACACTGGGGTCAGGGTTTGAGGAGCCCTGGGGAGGGGCTGAAGGAGTTTTGCTCTGGACTTGGCTGCTTTGCTCTTCCACTGACTGCACATGAGAAGGGAATGGGAGAGAAAAACCTCTGCTTCATGTGGATTTAAATATGGGACAGGGCTTTTTTTCTGTCACTTCTCTGTGCAGCCAAGTGTCACTTTGTGCCACCATTTGGTAAAGGAGGAAGCTGCCACAGAACACCCTCAAACTCCCTCATGTCACCTCCTGCCATCTCGAGAACACACGACACACAAACCGTTCCAGTCGGCAGGGCTGAGTTTGACTTGACAGTATTAAAAAAAAAAATAAAATAAAATTTAAAAAAAAAGGCATGGTTAGGGATGTAGAACTGAAATTGGACTTCTGACACGATAGGTTGCAAATAGGTTTCCAAGGAACAGCAGCACTTCATCGTGCATGACACTTCCAAGGCTGACAACTTGGCTCTGCAGCTCGACAATTTGCGGTCTACAAAGGATTTAGCTCCAAGCAAGAACTCACTCCTTGCTGATATGAAATATTGAGTTATTTGCCGATTCCTTTTCTATTTGAGTAAATTAAATGAAATCACTATCAAACAGCATCTGTTAAACCTGCATATTATGAAGGTTTTCAGAGCAGCTAAAGCTTTAATTTGAGAATGATTACAGCACGGAGTAAAGCTTGTAATGCTCTGTGACATGACAACAGGCAAACAACAAATTACAGGGTAGACGTTAGCAAAACATAGTAATTCAAATAAAGATAGCAGCCTTGGAAATCCTTGGATGAGGTAAGTATGTAAAGGAAAGATCTTCAGGACATAAGGCAATCAGTGATTGACTTGCTTTCCAGTGATATGTATGCTCCTGTTAGAAGCAGGTTTCAGGAAAAGCCAGAAATAACTCATTAGTGTTCTTTTTTCACACATTTGCCTCTTACTGGTTCATTTAATAACTTTACTAGATAACAGACTCCATCCTACAAAGCTCTACTCCAAGCTGTTAAATACCATGGTGAAAAATTTACTGGCATCATTTCATTTCCCAGGTGCCTCAGGACACAGAATCCCAGAATGGTTTGGGTTGGAAGGGACCTTAAAGCTCACGGGCAGGACTCCTTTTATTATCCCAGGTTGTTCCAAGCCCCATCCAGCTTGCCCTTGGACATTTCCAAGGATGGGGATGACCTTCCAGACCTTCACTACAAGGCTGTAAAGAACAGGATCTCCAGTCCTGTCTGCCATGACCTCTAGAGCATCTAAAGAAAAGAGCTTTGGGCCTTGTCAAATTAATTTTCTTGTTCACAGCAACCATGACTTCACACTGGAGAAAATATCCAGTGGTAAACAGCAAAACTGCCAGGCTTGGCTGTTTAAGGCTTTCCAGGGCTGTGGGTGCAGGATTAACTCCCAAGGAGTCCCCAGGGATGAATCCTGCACAACACCTACACCTGCTGTGGCAAACACTCATAGCACTGTGGTTTCTCCATCCAAACCATGACTCCAGCAGCTAAGTTTTGGTTGGACAATAAAAAACCAGCCAGATTCACCTCCTCCCACCTCTTCTACCTAAAATATCTCTGAACTGACAACCCAAATGCATTCATGACCACTTCACCCGCATTTGTTCCTGTAAAAATCTTGTCCATGGGCTTACCCAGCACTTTTCTCTCCCAGGCATTCATTCACCGAGGTATTTATGGGGGGGAAATCATCCTACTCAGTTTTCATTCTGCAAGCTGAGCTCTGCTTACAAGACAGATCCTCCTTCCCCCCAAGCACAGCTGCCCTCCTGGGGAGGGCTGCACTTTGATTCAAACACACCAGGGGTGAGCAGGCACCCAGGTAATGCCACACCTGCAGACAAGGCTGACCATCCCCTCTCCAGTGTTCTGTAATTACGGGTTGGTGACAAACTCTCTTCAGCCCCACCATGTGAAGGGGTGAACAGTGGTGTCAAAAGCTCTCCCTTTAGGGTTTCCAGCTGAGACAGAGCATCAGTGGTCCATGGAAGCCTGAACTGTGCCGTGACCATTCCAGGACAGCTCCCACCCCACCTGGCACCGCCACACTCGGACCCCTCTGACCCAACCTCTGTCCCACCACCCCAGAAAGCCCACCCCAAAGTCCTGTGCAGGCTGTGCACAGCCAGCTGGCCAGACACATCTGCAGAGGTTTGGACACGGGATGGAGAACCGTGGAGGGAGGTCTCTGACACCCCCTGCTCCCTAAAGCTCCTCTTTTCTGGCTCTTTCTGATAATCTCAGGGACAAAAGGTGGCCACCCCATGAGAGACAGAGAGGCCACCAGGCTGTGGGTGCTCCCTGAGGTGCAGCCCCCACAGAGAGCAGGATTTGGGGAGGCCCAAACCGAAGGGGAAGAGTTCTGTGCACCCAGCAGGAGCTGGGAGCCATCTGAACAGCAGGATTTACTTACACTTCATCCACAGCGTGTAAAATCTCCGAGCAGAAGAGGAGCCATATGGAAACGGTTTTGTGACAGGAATTTCAGCTCAATAAATCCATAAATTTGGCCCTATCTTTCTCTGGCATGTTCAAGGGTGTGTGTGCTCATGTTGGGGAGTGGGGGGGCTGCCTTCAAAACTGATGAATATGTTAAGATATACAAGAAAAGAAAAGCAACAATCAAACCCAAAGGTAGCATTGCTGTTCTGCTTGAGAGAGTGCTTAGAAACCTGAAGGGGAGGATGAATGAATCAGACTTTGATAAGCCAAAAGGAGGTAAAGAGAAGACCTTTTGTAGAATAAAACATGTAATGCAGGCCAACTCTATATACAACTTGATGAGCAATAAAATGTTAGAATTAAATCACGATTAAGTTCCTAACCTATGTCATCACCATCATTGTGCAGGGAACAGCCAGGGATCTACGAGGCCAAAATCTTGTTCAAAGTTGTGATTCAAAGTGAACTTCACACCTCAAACACATGCTTTTTTAAATCCTGTTAATAAGTAATAACCAAAGCTGCTTTTGGCCCACAGGGAAAAATAGGAATGAACACAGTGACCCAAAACATCATCCTGGGGTCTTTTAAATTGCCTTTACTGTGTGTCTTCAGGCAGGTAGCACAGGACTCACCTTGACAGGACTTGGCATCTGTCTTCAGCTGGTAGCCTGGCTGGCACTGGCACTTGTAGTGGTCCTCACTGAGCTGAACACAGTCCTGCTCACAGCCCCCGTTGTTAATGCTGCAGGAATTGACAGCTGGAGACAAGGAAGCAGTGAAGGAATGCACATCAACAACCTGGGAGAACCTATTTCCTATTTTAAATCCATAAATGACAGCAAAACCAGGTGAACCTCGCTGAGCAGCTTTCACAAATGCAGCTGTCCCCACCCTGGAGTGACTGCCCTCCCTTGTGCTCACAGAGCTGGGCTGACACCGTGTCCCACACCAGGGCAATCCTCATTCCAGGGGGAAGCAGGTGAGATCTAAGGGCTGTAAAGCTGACTGAAGCACAGCACCCTTTGATCTGACAGCACCAAAGCACTGCCAATCCACCGAGGCGAGGAGAGGAAAAAAGAACAGCCCTGCTGGCACTTGCCCATTGATTATCTTTTTCTCTCCTTGCTTTCATTGATTAAAAATAGTAATTGTCTTTCAGGCTGATTTCCTCAGCCTCATAAATAAAAAATTCAAATAACAGAAGCCACAAGCTCTACAGAACAGACTCACACAGCAAACCACAGGAACAGAGGGTCCTCTGTAGATCTTTAAAGATGCTGCTTCTTTCACCCAAGCAAGTTAATATTCTTTTTTGTTCAACACATATCCCTGGCCTTTAGAGAAACATTTCTCCTCCTGACAAAACATGTTAACACACATCCACACCTATTCACACGCTGCATGTAAAAATAAGAGTGATGGTTTGGTGCTGCTATTGTGCTGTGCTGATGGAAGTGTGTGTGCATGGCTGCATCGAGATGCATTTCCACAGCAGGGATGCAGGATGGAGAGATTTAAATTAGGTATTAGGGAGAAATTCCTGACTCTGAGGGTGGGGAGGCCCTGGCACAGGGTGCTCAGAGAAGCTGTGGCTGCCCTTGGATCCCTGGCAGTGCCCAAGGCCAGGCTGGACAGGGTTTGGAGCAGCCTGGGACAGTGAAAGCTGTCCCTGCCATGGCAGGGGTGGAATTGGATGGGCTTTAAAGTCCCTTCTAACCCAAACCATTCTGGGATTCTGTATTCTCTATGAGGAGCTGGAAAGACTCTTTGTTCCTTCATGGAATGTACCAAACTCTGAACTTAATGAAGTTAGCAAAGAGCTTTGATATTTATTTGTTGATGCTAACTTTAGCAATATTCATATTTCTTCATTTTATCTGTAATGGACATTAGTAAATGTTAGTTGCAAAACCTTCTACAGGATTTGTTTCACCCTATGCCACCAATTAGCAAACACCGAGTTTGTGCAGTCAAGTATGTGCTAAAAAGGTGAAGAGAAAAGCAAATTTTTAGATTCTCCTGGCTGCACACACAGCAGGAGGCACCTCACTGCACAGGAAGCTGACCCTGGCTTCTGATCTCCACCTGTGCCCACAAACCTTCTGCCCTGTCAGAGACAGAACTCGAAAGCAGCCTCATGTTACACAGGAGCCAGCAGACCCCATACACCCTGAGCTTCCAGCTCCCTGCACAGTTGTATCCAAAGACCTGTTTTGCAGCAAGAATATTCAAATAAGATGAAAATATTTCAGAAGACAAGAAACATCTTAAATCCAAGTGACAGAATATACACGTCGGCTTTTATAAGTGCCATTTTCTCCCTCGGTTTCTGGGCACGAGCCAACTTGGATGCAAGGGGAGATAAGCAGCAACCTGTTATGATGAGAATTGTGGAGGATTTGAAGGTGGGAGGGGACAGGTGTGAAATCCTGCATCCCAATTTGGCGAGTGGCTCTGCCGGTGGCCAGGGAGCCAGGGGCTGCTCTGGAGCGGCCAGGGCAGGTTTGTCACGCTGCTGCTGAGCATCAGCTGGATCCCTGAGAGGAGGTGCCAGACTGAAGGAGAAGAGCCTCCAGGGACAGGCCAGGATGGATTGTGCTGGTGGCTGCCAGGAGCCAGCAACACGTCTCTGATCAGAGAAAGGGAGAGACTTGGCACCTCGTGGGTCTGACTCCATCTGTCACAAAGGGACTCGTGGCTGGAGGCCTGAGCACCTCCACAGGCAGAAATATGGCCTGACATTCACTTCCAAAGATTTACTCTCGAAATCTGGTAGAAATCCAGCCCTGACGTGGATTCCAGACAGGCTGGGGATGATGTCAGGTGATGCCCAGAGAGGGAGGGGACATCTGGTGGGAGACACCAGGTGAGAAACACAAAGGATCACAGAATCATGGAACGGTTTGGGTTCATCTTGAAACTCATCTCATTCCACCCCCTGCCATGGCAGGGACACCTCCCACTGTCCCAGGCTGTCCAACCTGGCCTTGGGCACTTCCAGGGATCCAGGGGCAGCCACAGCTGCTCTGGGCACCTGTGCCAGGGCCTGCCCACCCTCCCAGGGAACAATTCCTTCACAATATCCAATCTAACCCCGCTTTCTGTCAATTCAAAGCCTCTTTGCCTTGTCCTGACACAATATGTCCTTGTAAAAAGTCCCTCTCCCGCTCTCCTGTGGCCCCTGATAACAGCTAAGAAACACACATTTCTTAACCCATTATTTTTTACAATAAAGGTGATATTTTTACGAAGAGCTGGGTCTGAAGCCATGGTTAGATACATGCACAGCAACTATAAGGTTAGAACATGCAATGTTTTCCATCACCTTAAATCCAACTTTGGCAATGACGAGAAATGTAACTTCAGATGTACAGGGCTTATATTTATGTTGAGAAACATAGATTATAGAGTTGTAGAGATATTTTCTTTGTTACTTTCTCTATTAAGAGCCTTAGTGTGCTAAAATCTCCATCAAAAACCCTGCACCTCAACAGCTTCTCCTGATAAAGCAGACATCAAAGGTAACAGCTGGCACCAGAGATGAATCAGGGTCTAACGGCTGTGCCCTGTTTTCACTTCCAGGAGTTCAAACAGGAATAAATTCCACTGAAGACAATGAATTTACAACAATCCAAACCCACAGCCTGATACTACAATAAACATGTTCTTTCTGAGTTTCAGCTTTTCAGATACCAGCTGGTTCAACTCCAGCGAAGTCGAATTCGTTGCATTAACATAATCAAGGCATTACAAACAAAACAAACAAGAAAGTTGGACAGGGTTGCAGTGAATATTTGGTCTGGCACGTGTATTTATAAATTAATTCAATGCTGAGAAAAAATTTGTGGGACCAAAAAGCTGAAGGAAGAAAAGGAGCATTGAAGGAGAAGGGGTTCTATCATGGCATGAAATATTGGATAACATCAAAGGATTCAGGAATTGAGCAGTTTGCTTTCACACACTGGTCATCACTGAACAAGGCAACCCACTCTGGAGAGTCTTTGGGTCTGAGCAGAGTATGAGCAGATTACTCTGCCTTAGAGTATGGGCAGAAGTTTCCAGTGAGAGCAGGAAGAACAACAAAAGCAGATTTCCTCTCTCCACGTATTTTAAGGCTCATAGTGGCAGTAGAGGGACGGACCACCAGAAACTAGTCAGGATCCCAATCATCCTGTGATGAGGTGGCAGGAGGAGCAGATTTACTGGAACACTTGTGACAGAAGTTCAGTACTATTCCATGAATCACATGAGAAAGGTTTTTGAGTCCTCAGATGTAGGCTGAATATCTTTTAAGATGATAGATCCACTTCCTTATGTATGGGAGATTTCCAAGCCATCCAGGCTGCAAAATCTGCTTCCCCTCAAATGATTTTGGCACTTTTGTTCCCACAAACACAGAGTTGCCAAAAAAGAAAAGGAAGACGTGGAAAGAATGAACGTAACAGCAATCTGGACTGGGCTCCTCAGAACAGCCTGTCTAAAGGGACTCTTGTTTCTTATTTCTGCAGCTGAGATAATCACCTTCCATAAACAGCTCAGTGCCAGAACGTGGTCCCTTTTCCTTCTCAGCATGCAGGAGAGATCGTTACCTCCTCTGAAGTATCCATGGAAGAAATACCACTGCTAATCCAAGCCTGTTTGAAATGCTGGATGTTCTGCTTAGCTGCACTAGCTCAAAGGAGGGGTGCATTAGAGCTTTGCTGCTCACCAGATGAGTGATGAAAGCTGAATGCACAACCTGGTGCTGCACAAGGGGCAAACTCTCCACCCCCAACAAGCAGCTACTGCCCAAATCCTGATCCTAGGCACTCCTGATTTATAGGAAAAGCTTCTCCCTGTCCTCATCAATTAGCAGCTCTCTTGTTCTCCAATGCATGAGAGCTTATTATATCCATTTATTTTGGTGTCTTGTCCAAACAGCTGGAACAGGACTCAATATCCTGCCTCTTGATAATGCACATCCATTATCAAGATAGCAGAGCTCTCTGAAACTCCTGTCTCTCATCTTAGGATTTATTTTTGTTTCTCCTTGATAATTTCTGAGATATTGCAAACAAAGCTGATCACTGTATGAAGTATTTTGAATAACTTCTTGGGAATATTTACATTTATGAAATGAAAACTTGTTCTCTGGTATCGTTCACAGCTCAGACAAAGCTAAACTGAGCTTTCTGATTATTTGAGGCAAGAGGAATCCTAACTATTTTATGTCCACAGAAAATTTTACATATTACACAAGTAAATTAATTTAATTGCCATTAACACCTACTTTTTGCCTTTATCACACAGTTCTTGTTCTCTTTTTCCCCCCAAAGTCCCTTTAGTCCCCTTTTTGTATAAAACTCCACAACAAATGAGACTATTCAGAAGGAGTAATTTAGCTCAAATAAAACTTATTTTACTTCTGGGTCTTCCCTGGTCAGATCAGATCTGATCTGAGTGAGATTAATTTCTCTTTTAATTCACAGAAAACCACAATTGCTTCTAGTTAATTATGAACCACTCTGCTTTTACATTATTTCTTTTTTCCCTCTCACTTTAGTGTTTCCTTGTCCAATCCTTCACCAACTGAGACACTCAAGAAAAGACTGAGACTTCATCACATTTTTAATTGCAGTTAATTACCAAAACACTGAAAGTCTCTGTATGTGATAAACCAAAAAAACCCAAAAGGGTAAGTTTTAAAATAAAAAAAAATCCATTATTGCCACAGCCTGAGCCCTGGTACCTCCTGTGTCCTGGTTGTACCAGTGAATGTATTGCTGTGATAACACCAGGAATGACTGATGACATCTCTGGCTGAAGTTAAGCACAACCAAGGGACTTTGTGCAGGAACTGAGACAATGCCCAAACTGAGTGAACTTATTCTGCAGATGTGGTCTGACTCTACCTGACTGTTCTTCCCGTATTACCTCAAATCAGGTTTAAAAATTTAAACAAAAGGTGCCCTTTCCTTCTTCCCAGATGATAGAACATTGTAATCCTTTCTGCAGAATTCAAAAATTTGACTTTTGTACTGATTTAAATGCAATACAAGAACTGTGTATTTCATATTATTGTTTCTAACAACACACAGAATTAACTCTGGTATGCCTCGTGTCAGCCTTGAGAGTCCAACCTAAGAAAGAGAGGGTTTATTTCTGAGGGCAGAGCTGCTAATCCTCTGCACATGAACAGGCAGTGTGTCATGGCTGAGCTCCATGGTGCTCTCATTGACACGAGCACACACAGGGTAACTCCACCCCATAAATCACAATCATTTAGCCTGGATAAAATCACCAAGTCCCAGGGCAGTGCTGGAACACGCAGGGAGATGTGCCACAAAGAAAATGCACTCAGAATTAAAAAAAAACCAGTTGTCATTTGAAATGAAGACCCTCCCTAAGCTCCCTAAGCTTCTTAATGCTGCAAAAGAATTTTCAACAACATAAGACACCATAAAAAAAAAACAACAAAAAAACCAATGAAAACAAAAAAAAAAAAACTAAAACCCTGAAATGAAATAAAATTTGGCAATACCTGAATCCTCACAGGCTGCTTGAACCATGATGGGTAACGATATTTAGTTAAAACTCAGATGGGAGAAGTCTAGAAACCTTTGCACTTGGGGAAAAGCCAGCGCTGGAAGGACGCGAGGCGGTTCCTTACCGATGCAGGTGCGCCCGTCGTCGTGGAGCCGAAATCCCGCCCGGCACTGGCACTGGAAGGAGCCCTGGGTGTTGACACAGCCCTGCTGGCAGCCTCCATTCAGCACCTCACACTCATCCACGTCTGCAGGAGGAAGGGAGATGGTGAGGTATCACCCTGAAATTACCGCCTTCTGATTGTATGGAGTATTGTATTTTCCTGTTATTTATCCTTTTGATTGTTTATAATGTTGCTAGCTTCTTTGTTCATTTTTCTTTTTTCTTTTCTTTTTGTTAAACCAAAAAGGGTGAGATGTCGCCCTGAAAACTCAGCTTCTGAGCTTGCTAAAATAGTTTTCTAAGGACTTTCCTAGGACAGTAACTGTAAACATAGATATGTGCACATTCTTTCTGTTACACGTCTTGTGATGGGCATCTCTCATGGCCAGTCCAGTGGGAAAGTGTTATCCTGACCCTCCAATCCCTGGCCATGGTCAGAAAACTATAAATCCTGGGAGGAAAAATAAACTTTCTCTTCTTTTCACCACACTTCGACCTGTGTCTGTGTGATCTATTCATCTTCAGCGGCGACAGTGAGGAAGGATTGCAGGAGAGCCCAGCACACGCACACCCTGGTTCTCCTGGCTCATCCACGGTGCAGCCAGGGCACTCGGGCTGGCTTGTTGTTTACTTCAGTTTGCAGCAAAGAAAAGTGGAATTTTATGGTATTTTTCCAAGCTCCTGCAGGCACTGGCTCTGTAGTCTCTGCTTCTGAAGTCCTTGTTAATTAAAGTGATTTGTGACATGGCTTTTTCATTGGGGCCAAGAGAAAAATACAGGGGAATAATTAGGGTTAGATAACACATCTGAGCCTGTAGGAACTGCTGGTCAAACCTTTGGCTTTTATAAAAAACTTGCTGTATGAACGTTTCCTTTGCATCAGGCCTTTAATCCTATTTCTTCTCGGGGGTACGAGCAGGTACAACTGAGATGAATGGAAAAAAGACACATTCTCCATCCCCATTTCTTTTTCAACCATGTAAAGCACAGAGAGCTTAAAGAGAAAATTTTAGAAGAGCGAGGAATTTATGCTACATTTTCTGTGTCTCCTGCCCTACAATCACAGCATGGCTTGGGTTGGACAGGACCCTAAAGCTCATCTCATTCCAACCCCCTGGCCATGTGCAGGGACACCTTCCACTAGCCCAGGTTGCTCCAAACTTCATCCAGCCTGGCCTTGGACACTTCCAGGGAGGAGGAAAACATTGTGTCCTGTTCCTCCTTGTGTTCACCTAAACTTGCCAGAGCATCTTCTCAGACAACCTCCCAGAAAATGATGTGAGCTCCTGCTGGTACCTTTTCCTAAGCTAAGCAGGTAGCATTCCGTATTTCAGGGGATTTTAGAGGATTACATTCGGTCAAATGAAGAGGGAAACAAGCATTAAACCAGCTTGAGAGCTCTGCTGCAAAGTTTCATCTGAAAATGATGGACAATGATGGGCAAAGATCAAGAAAGGTTTAAGCAAACAGGTGAAGGTCTAAGACAGAATCATAAAACTGAATTTCCAGAAGTACCACATAAGCAGTTTTTGCACCTCTTCAGCAACGCTGGGCTACTGTAAATAGCATTTGATTGACATGTTGACACCATTACCTTAAAAATCAACATGGGGTCATTGGAAATAAGGGTCAATTAGTCCATTCCCTGAAAAAAATTCACCTGGCAGATGTTTGCCTAGATTTTGTCTGTCCTTTCCTTAGCAGTCCCCAGGGATAGCAACTCCACCTCTCACGATCTCCCCCAGGGGCAATGCTGGTCCCAAATTATCCTAAATGCCAAAGATATTTTCTTCCCCAAGCCAAGCATCCCTCCTGCAACAGACATCTCTAAAGAACCCCCATCTCAACACTGAAGCCTCCTGATGATTTAATTGCCCTTTAGATCACGTTCTAAAACCATCTAATGGGAGATAAGTCCACAATGCTCCTGTGGAAGCGAGTCCATGGTGAAGGAATTTCCGCCCATATTGCACATGAGCAACAAAGGGTCTGGCTTTCATATCTGTGCTGTGGTTGTATCTGTTTTGCATTTAACTTTCATGGTTTACACATCTTTTAATGCTTTTATGTTTATTCCATTTTAGAAAATCTAATCAAAATTAACTGGAAGAGGACTTGGAAATGCATATCCCGCTCCTAAGGAAATGTATTTATGAAGTTAAATTTTAATACTTCACATGTGAATTTCCCTCCCCTAAAATGAAGCCCTGGTGTTGACTGGTGTTTAAATTCAGACCATTTGCTAACATGCACCACTTTCTGATTCTAATGCTGTATTTGTTGTTTTATTAGACTGTATACTGCATACATGTCCAACTGCCCAGAGACATCTGGAATATGCTTTTTTTTAAACAGAAATTTTGCTTTTTAAAATGTAAACAGTAAACAGAAAACGTTTTTCACCTTGTTGAATTCCATACTGCTAAGAACCAGACTGCTGAAAAATGCCAGGATGAAACCAAACCCAGGAAACTCTTTGTATGGAGTGTCAGAGAAATAAAATAAGCAAAAAGACTCAGAAAAATAGAACTAGGAAGCATCTGAACCACATAGTACACCACGTTCTAGTATTTATACCTCAATAAACTCAAACACTGGGCACTTCAATATTTTAATTTTATAGGCTACGATCAGCTGGAGAATTTCTCTCATATACCAAACACAGTTTTAAGTTCAGATATTGGCACTTACAAAGGAGAAAAAATAGTCCAGCTAATAAAAACGAGCTGGGAGATAGTGATATTTGTTAGTCTCCATTTGGAGATTTAAAGGAGTGACTTGGTTTATGGGGGAGCTCTGCACCCCTCAGTGGCGTTTCCCTTGTGCTGGCACGTCCCAGAGGGCCATAAAGCAGTGATCCTGCTGAAAGGCAGCACAATTCAATGGAAAATAAAAGATCCTAAACCACTTGTGTGCATGAGCTCGACCCAGCCCCAGCCTGAGACTCCCTGCAGCAAGCGGAGGCGAGACCCAGGAGCTGAAAAATGCAGCTCCACGAGGCCACATCAACAGCAAATCTGATGACAGATGATCCCTCCCAGCCCCAGACTTCCTCTGCAAGATCAATATTTTAAGGATTATATGCTGAAAGATTCCTTCACATCCTACAGATAAAATCAAGAGAAATGCAAGGCGCAGTCGCCTTTCCACGTCTCCTCCATCTGAAGGCCAGGAAACAGCTTCGCCCCCAGTTACAGCAGAAAAAATTCCCTAATTATTTTGTCTGGGGAGCAGTCTGCAAAGCAGACACTGATATAAATGCCTGAACTACATCTGAAGGTTTTTAAAGTCTAAACTATTTGGACTTTAATGTTCAAATTGCTGTACTGGTAAAGGATAAATACAGCAGCGAAGCAACAGCTCCTGCTGTTGTAGGTACACAAGTGGCCATGTTTTTTTCTATTTAGGAATAGCTGTAGAAAGATGAAATTATTCTAGAATAGTAGATGTATAATAATATTTAAAAGTATTCTTGAAATAGAAAGCCCTTCCATTGCAATTCTAGAACATCACAGGATTATGGAAGATTGTATCTGTATCTGTGATTAAATTTGGATTAGTTTCCAGTGCAGATCAAACTGGAACAGCTTCCTGCTCGACTTTCTATAGTTACAATTTAGGATGCTTATCTGAATTTCAAGCCACTTATGGCTTGCTTATCACAAGTCAGACTGTGATGAAAGCAACTGCACGGAGACAAGAGGGAAAATGAGAGCTGTGTGCTGTCCCCAGGCTGTCTTGCCAAGGAGATTACACTGCTGGGTGAACAAAGCAGAGGTGGTGTGTGGATATTCTCCTTCTCACCTTCAGAACATTTCAGGGATGCTTTATGGGGGATTCCCCACTGAAGGTACCTTACCACGTCCTTGTTTATTCCCCTTTCATCAGGAATTAACTAACAGTCATACAAACCAAAGTCTGTGTGTTCCCAAGATGGAGAATATTTTTGTCACCATGTTAATCATCTTTTTTTAGTTCTTCATGCTCCTGAGGGCTGTGCACTTGGACTGACCCTTCCTCCATCCCAACACCTCAAGTTCCAAACACAATAAACGAGGATGTGATGTACAAATGCCAACCCACTGCCAGCACCGTGCCCTTGCCAAGAGCAGATCCCACAGGTGAAGCTCCAGAATGTGAAATCCTCCACAGCCCTGTCTGAGGACCCTGCTAATCACCAAGGAGGTTGGTCCCTAATTGATTTGATGAACCACACTGACAAAAGTCCATTTGCCCTGCCCAAAACCTGTTTCAGTACAGAGCTGTGTGACTGCATGTTTGGAATTCAGGACCATCACATCAGCAGCTTTTTTCATATCATTATTAAAATGCTCAGGAACAGCTATGATCAATCAGTTCCTCAAACATACACAGAGAGCACTAATAAACATGGATAATTAGTGAAGCTGCAATTATGGTTTTTATAAAGGAAGAAAGAAAACAAGATGCTGCCAGATCAATTCTCTACTAACAGAAAGCCCTGCTTTTTAGACCACTAAGAAATGCAAAGATAGAGAACTGAACTCAAAAAAGAAAAGAAAAAAAAGAAAAACAGAGGAATAACAGGCTTCCTTTTTGAGAATCCTGAATGGAGGAGAGATGATGTGCCAAAGGTTTGCCTCTCAAGGAGCTTCCCCCAGCTAGTGGCATTTCTTGAGGGTGACAAATGAACAGGCTTTCCCTCCCCTGACTATTAAAACTTGCAGACTGAGAACTGTTCAGAATCAGTATTTTCTGAGAGATAAGCAGACAAAAAACTTCCTCTTCCTAGTGCCCAGGCACTGATGGAGAAAGAAACCAGAACTGGACAGTACCAACCTCACCATTAAAATAGGTATTACAGAAAATTTCTTCCTGGAAGGGGTTGTAAAGCATTGGAACAGGATGCTGGGGCAGTGATGGAAATGTCACCATCCCTGGAAATGTGGATGTGGCACTTGAGGACACAGTGGTGGTGCTGGGCTGACTGCTGGACTTGATCTTGAAAGTCTTTTCCAACCCTAATGGTAGTATCATTTCAGGATTATTTATTTATTAATTAGTTTTTGGCAAAATCTCTTCAATTTGTCAAGCAGAGAACAACAG